CCGGACCTTCCGCTCTCCGGGCGGACGCTCTACCACTAGACCACGGAGGCGGTCCACAGAGCATAGGCCTAGTTGTGAAGCGGATAGTGGTACACTGACATATTCAAGGAGGGAGAGTCTTAAAAAGACATTGTATGACCGCTTGAGTCAGCTGTTAACTAACTTCTGTTTAGTCCAGTATCGTGAACTGTTAAACATAAATATAGATCTTGTTGTGGATAAAATAACATGTAATCTTCCAACATGTGCAGTAGCTTGTGGTCTAAAGGTTCAACAGAACTTTGTTTAAGAACCCAAACCGTGTTTTTGGTATGTTCAAGAATGTATAAATACGAACACGAAGGAGTTACAATAAAAGGTGACAAAGACACATTGTTAGAATATTGAGTACGAAGCGACTATAGACATTTGTGTAGAAAAAAGAAAGCTGAATTATTGAGTTTGTGATCTGTATGGGGTTCTATGGGAAAGTAAAATCACTAACAGGTTATCGCACCAACACTTTAACAATAAACTCGGATCAGTGGACAGATTATTTTAAGGATGTTTTAAACATTAATGATGTCAATGTAGAGCTTATTAATTATACTAAAAATGAATTCATATTCATGATAGTCAGCTGCATTTGGTGACGATTGCTGTAATGATGTTGATAAAATGTTGAATAAAGACATTACTCAAGAGAAGATTGAAGCTGCTGTAAAAGGTTTGAAGTGTAGGAAGGCTGCAGTTCCAGATGGCATAATATAAGGGATGAGATGATCTGGTGTATTCATTTATTGTCACCTAATTTTGTTTGCATATTTAATCATGTTTTACAAACTGGTATTTAATCCATAAGAATGGACAAAATGTATTACTGTTCCTCTTCACAAGAACGACAACCCATGCTTGCCGTAAATGGCGACTATGCTTGTCGTAAGAGGCGACTAACGGGATCGGGTGGTCAGGCCTTCTGACTTGGTTGATGCATGTCATCGATCCCAACATCTTCCCGAGGCAAGAGAGTTAACTGACTATAAAAGTCCAGTTTCCACCCTTGCCGAACTAGGCTGGTATTATGGAGTTACATTTTGGCTGGACTAACGAGTCTATGCATAGTCCAATCAAAATCGCGCACCGAAATCGAAATCCGGTTCGTAAAGTGTCATGCAGATTTCGGTCGACTGCAGGATTTGCAAAGCAAGTACACCGCTAACTCGTTGTCAATAGATATTTTCTAAATCTTTTCATGTTTTTGATGGAGGTGCTCACGTGATTTGATGCGCTTCGCGATGTAAGACTCGTTTTATCACAATATAGATCTTGATTATCGATTAGATTGTCTTGACTGGGCGCCACCGTTTTGTTTGAAGCAAATGCAAGTGATACGAGAGGTTAAATCTGATTGGTCAATTGGAGGGGCATAGAAAGGACATAACTCGTAATAGCCACTGGTGGCGCTACGATCGAGCCCAGGAATTCCAGCCTAGTTCGGCAAAGGTGGAAACTGGACTTTAAAAGTCAGTTAACTCTCTTGCCTCGGGAAGATGCGATCCCAATTGCTTGGATTGACGCTCATGAGATCAATTACTGGATTGTCTGGTCCAGACTCGCTTATTTACAGACCGCCGTCGTATAGCTGGGATATTGCCGAGTGCGGCGTTAAACAACAAACCCTTCAGTGAATATTCACACAATTTTCACACACCTGTAACTTGAAATAACTGTTTTGCATTTGTTGCATTGAAGCATAGCGTTATGGGAAAGACATGAAATGAAAAAAATAAATTAATTTCTTATATTTTTTGGCTAAGTGCTAATTTGTCTTCTGGTGCACATGGCACATAGCAGTCCTATTGTGTAGGAAATGGTACTAGGCATGACAGAAAGTACTGATATCCTTGCATTGGGATCGTTGATTATTCCAAAGCTTTATTAAGTGTTAAACAACTACTGAGTGCGGCGTTAAACAACAAACACAAGAAGGAAGATGTAAATCAGTTGATAATTATCGTGGTTAATCGTTGATGGGTGTGCTTTTTGTGTTATTGTTAATTATAGCCTTCAGCAATTTGTGGATTTACATGATATCATCCTAGAGGCACAAACTGGATCTGGCAAAGGTTATTGCACGACTGATAACATACTAGTATGTACTTTAAAATTTTACAATGTTTAGTTCAGAAGTATATTTCTATAAGTGAAGGTCAATTTTATTGTCTGTTGGTTGATATAAAAAGGCATACATGTTAAAAGACATTGCTCTGGTATTCGTTATTTAGACAAGGTGTGAAGGTCTGATTAATCTCAGTATTAAGAAATGTGTATTCTAAACTTCTGTCTTTAGTTCCGCATTCCGAATCATCAATTGGGGAATATTTTTGAATACCTTAGTGGTGTACGACAAGGCTGTGCTTTTAGGTCCTTTGTTTCTTTGTCATGTATATAACAATATATCAAGTAATGCTGCAGAACTCTGGTCTAAGGGGTATATTTGTAAGCTTTGAGGTTGCGGATTTACTTTTGCAGTTGTATGTTGATTATCTTAATATAAACTGACGTCCAAAAGAAACTTTACCAACTGAAAATATAAATTTCAGACAAAGTATGATTTTTTTTTGATGAAGTCTACCTAAAACACATGACCTAAATACAACAATAGTGTATGCAGAAAATGTTAATCGTCTGTTACATGTTTGCGAGATAACACGCGAAAAAGTGAAAAACACGTGCACCACGGACAACTGCAAATGCACGTGCGGGTAAGGGTATAAAACGATTGCAACGTCAAGTTAGACATCCACAATAATTAAAAAAACACAAAAGAAATGCCACGACTTACAGTCGAACAACGTGAACGATCCTTGGGTATGGTACAGATGGGGGCCACTCACGCCCATATTGCACGAACCTTCGGTTGCTCCCGTGTTGCCGTTACCAACTTGATGCAATGTTACAGACAGACAAGGCGGATCGCTGACAGGCCAAGAACAGGCAGACCCAGGGTGACCACGCCCCATGATGACCGGTACTTGCGTACCTTGCACCTCCGAAATCGCTTCCTGACAGTGACGTCATCGGCGACAAAGGCCTTAGGTGACAGGGTTAGTCGACAAACAGTGACCAGGAGTCTCAGGGCTCATGGAATCAGGGCTGATGGAAGACAACGTGTTTACCGCCGAAGGGGTGAACGAACGGCGGTGTGTTGCGTGCAGTAGGTCGTACCATATGGTGGAGGGAGTGTCACCAATAGGGTGGTCTAGTGGTTGAAGCGTTGACCCGTGAAGATTCCGGGGTAGAATAGGTCTTCAGCAACCCATGCTTGCCGTAAAAGGTGACTATGCTTGTCGTAAAAGGTGACTAACGGTGTTACGTGGTATGCACTCTTGTGACAAGAGTTGCTTCCCTTGGCGTATGTCAGCCATGCAAGTTATAATAAACGTTGATGCTTTAACCTGAGTTGGCTATGGCTATCCAATAATGTGTACAGCATACACAGCACGTAACATGGTGGCAGCAGGTGACTTTCTCACTCCTCTATGATACCACGACCTATTTCTGTCAGTTTTATGTCTGAAATGTTATAATGGAAGCCGAGGTGTTTCAGACCACGTGCGTTCGTCTGCTATCATTCAAATGTCTCAGCAGTGATGTCACTGATTGTCTAGCCTTGCTTCAAGTCTTCAAATATGGCCGACAATCCTCCTCAAGCTCAACGGCCTGTTAGTGGTATAAAACCTCCATCACCCCTTGTTATTGAATCCAACATTGCTGAAAATTGGAAATCATTCAAACAGAAATGGACCAATTATTCTATACTTGTGAACCTGCCAGGATATGGAAGGGAATATCAAGTAGCTTTGCTCCTAAACACACTTGGTGATGAAGCCTTAAAAGTCTTCAATGGATTCCATTTTCAAACACCAGAAGCTGAGAGAACTGTCAAAGAAATTCTAGACAAATTCGAAGCATTCACTATTGGTGAAGTTAATGAGACATATGAGAGATACGTCTTCAATCTCAGAAAACAGAAGGAAGGAGAGACATTTGAAAATTTCTTAGGATCAATCCGTTCTCTTGTGAAAACCTGCAACTATTGTCAGAATTGTATCTCTTCAATAATAAGAGATAGACTCATCCTTGGAGTAAGAGATCCCGACACTCAGCAAGCACTGCTCAAAGAGAGGGACCTCACTCTAGAAAGATGTATCGACATCTGTAAAGCCACTGAAAATGCGTCAGTTCAGTCAAAGTTGATCAGACCTGAACCTATCAATAGAGTTGCAATAGACTCTTTGAGATCAAGGCAAAAGAAGCCTCTTCGTTCAAGTCAAAAGATGAATTCTCCATCGAGAAGTCAGAGACCTCAATCTCAGCATGAAAGAGACTGTAAATTCTGTGGTTATTCTCATATCATGGCTCGTAAAAGTTGTCCTGCATGGGGAAAAAAGTGCACGAAGTGTCACCAGCTGAATCATTTTGCACCAAAGTGTCCCAGTAAGAAGCAATACAGCAAAGTCAACAATGTTGAGCTTCCAGATGAAGATTGGATAAATTCTGTGCATGAAGATTCAAACACGGACAAGCCTGCTAAATGTAGAATGACTGTGGAGGGAAGAGATGTCGTCTTCACTATTGATCCTGGTGCTGCTGTTAATATCATTCCGTCTTCTATTGTCCAGGACAAGTTGAAGAGTCTGAAACCTACAACTAAAAAGTTGAAGATGTGGAATGAGACTGACGTCACTCCTCTTGGTTGCCTAAACATTCTTGTTCAGAATCCTGCTAACAAGAAAAAGTATTCTGTTGAATTTGTTGTTGTGCAAGAGAACTTTGTACCTCTCCTAGGTGTCAAAACTGTTACACTCATGAACTTAGTCACAATTCATGAGAAGAATATTGAGCGTGTTGCCAATATTGAAGTTACTTAAAAGTTCAGTGATGTGCTGGATGGTAAACTTGGTACTTTTAGTGGTGTTGTTCACCTGTCAGTTGATAGTGCGGTGAGACCAGTTGTGATGCCAAACCGTCGTGTTCCTGTTGCACTGCGCTCAAAGTTGAACACTGAGTTAGACAGACTGGAGAAGTTAGGTGTGATTGCGCCTGTCAGTGAGCCAACCCCCTGGGTAAACCAAATCGCAATTACGCAAAAGAAATCAGGTGAACTTCGAATTTGTTTGGATCCGCAAGAACTAAACAAAGCCCTTTGTAGAGAGCATTACACTCTGCCTGTGCTTGAAGATACCCTACATGAGCTAGGGAAGTCTAGAGTTTTCTCCAAAGCTGACTTGTCATCTGGATACTGGCATGTCCAACTCGATGAGGAGTCAAGTCTTCTTACGACCTTTCAAACCTGTTTTGGTCGTTATCGATTTCTCAGGTTGCCATTTGGTCTTTCTGTGTCGTCAGAAATCTTCCAAAAGAAGTTGATTCAAGCCCTTGATGGACTACCAGGTATCGTCTGTATTGCTGACGATGTGCTGATTCATGGTCGGAACCTAGAAGAACATGATGCTCATCTTGAAGCATTTCTAGCAAGATGTCGCGAGAGCCACATCAAGCTGAACCCATCAAAACTTGAACTGCGATTGAGTGAAATCACCTTCATGGGACATTTGATAACCAAAGATGGTTTGAAGTCTGACCCCGAGAAGGTCCGAGCAATTCAAAACATGGTTCCACCAACAAATCTTGAAGAACTTCGACGTTACCTTGGTCTTGTGAACTACTTGTCCAAGTTCTTGCCAAACTTAACTGATGTGCTAGCTCCTCTGCGTAACCTTGTAAGAAAGGATGTTGCCTGGACATGGTCCAGTTCTCAACAGGAATCCTTCCAAAAGGTTAAGGACATGGTTACCAAGGCACCTGTATTGTCATATTATGATCCAGAGAAAGAGCTGACAGTTGAGAATGATGCGTGTGAACATGGCATTGGCTCAGTACTAATGCAGGAGGGAAAGCCTGTCGCTTATGCCAGTCGCTCGCTAACTGACACTGAGCAAAGATTTGCTCAGATAGAAAAGGAAATGCTCGCCGTGACCTTTGGTCTTGAGAAATTCCACCATTACACATATGGTAGAAGTGTAACTGTGATAACTGATCACAAGCCACTAGTGTCTATCGTCAAGAAGCCCTTGTCTAGAGCTCCCAATAGACTGCAGTCATTGCTACTGAGGACCCAGCGATATGTGTTCGATCTTCAGTATCTACCTGGAACAGCTATTCCTATTGCTGATACACTTTCCAGAGCGCCATTGCCTGACAAACCTTCCTCTGAAACTGTGTATGTGAATAATGTCTATCATCTCCCGATCAAGGACAAGCTCATGAATGACATTAGAGTTGCAACTGCATCTGATGAAACCCTCACCAAGTTGAAATCAACTATAATGGAAGGATGGCCAACACATAAGGAGAATCTGTCCTCTGAGCTTACTCCTTACTTCAGTTACAGAGACGAACTCACCATTCAAGATGGGATAATTCTTCATGGACCTAGAGTTGTCATCCCACTTGCATTGAGAGATGAGATCAAGAGAAAACTTCATGTTGGTCACATGGGGATAAACTCTTGTCTACGCCGTGCAAAGACACTTGTGTTCTGGCCCTTGATGTCAAGTGACATAAGACAGTATATCGAGTCATGTGATATTTGTGCTCGTTTCAGTGATAAGCAATCACCAGAACCTCTGATTATGCATGAGATTCCTGATCATCCCTGGGAAAAGGTGGGAACAGATATTTTCACCATTGAAGGTAGGAATTACCTTGTGACTACTGACTACTACAGCAATTTCTTTGAAATTGACTTTCTGCCTGAAACCACTTCTGATGTTGTGGTTACCAAGTTGAAGCACCACTTTGCTCGTCATGGTATACCTAAAGTCGTCATCAGTGACGGAGGACCTCAGTATACCAGTGAGAAGTTCAAGAAGTTCAGTCAGTCTTGGGGTTTCTCTCATGAAACTTCCAGCCCTGGTAACAGTAAAGCTAATGGTGCTGCCGAAGCTGCCGTTAAAGTAGCTAAAAGGATGATGAAGAAATGTCTAGCTGCTAAAGAGGATCCTTACCTGGGATTGTTGAATGTGAGAAATACACCGACTGAAGGCGTACAAACAAGTCCAGCCCAAAGACTATTTGGTCGCCGAACACGTACTCAGGTTCCTTGTACGTTAAAGACTATTCAACATGATTCTGGTCCGGATGACAAGCAACAACTTGAAGACAAAAGGATGCTTGTAGTTGAGAGACATAACCGGAAGTACTCTGGAAGACCTCTCAAACCCTTACAGGTTGGTGATACTGTCAGAATGCAACCCATTCAAACCGGCAGGAAGGAATGGAATGAAGCTACTGTGACAGATGAGATCAAGCCAAGAACCTACTCTGTGAGATCAGATAATGGTCACTGTTTCAAACGGAATAGACAACAACTTCGTCTTGCCAGAAAGTCTAGAGTTGAGGATGATGTTAATCTTGAGATTCCAACATTCCCAAACTGCCAGTCGCCAAGAAGATCTAGAGATGATGAACTTATCCAGGATAAGCAATGTGTTCAGTCTAGTGCTAACCTCTCTAATACTCAGACTGATTCTGTCATTCCAACAAGAGATGTTCCAAAGAATACCTCATCTCCAAAATCTGACATGTTCAAGACAAAGTCTGGGAGAGTAGTCAAGCCAGTTAAACGGCTTGATTTGTAATTCTTGGATGTGTTCTTTAACAGTTTTCCAAAGACTGGAATAATAATGTGTTTCTGATGTTGTTTAGTTAAAACTTATAATTTTGTCATTGCAAGTTGACAGCGAACTTTAATTCAGGAATTATGGGAAAGTGCTTTAACGGAATGTTATAGTGAACTGCATACTGTATCCCAGTATATGGACCGACTCGGTAATGTCACTCATTTCTTGGATTAATGTACCTGTAGTTAAAGGTTTAATTACTTTATTTGTTTTCCTCAAAGGAAGGGAGATGTTACGTGGTATACACAGCACGTAACAAACGGGATCGGGTGGTCAGGCTCGCTGACTTGGTTGATGCATGTCATCGATCCCAATTGCGTGGATGGATGCTCATGATATCAATCACTGGATTGTCTGGTCCAGACTTGATTATTTACAGACCGCCGTCATATAGCTGGAATATTGTTGAGTGCGGCGTTAAACAACAAACAAACAAACCAATGAAGCGTTGGGATAACTCCGAACACCTAGGTTCGATTCCACACGTGGGTACATTATGTGAAGCCCATTTCCCGTGTACTTTCACCTCGATTTTGCTGGAATATTGCCAAAAAGCTGCATAACATATATAATCTCACAACCCAGAAAAAAGTAACATTAGATGTATGGTATTATAATATACACGTTGACGCGTGTTATAGCTATTGAAAGTGACACACGAGACGGCACATAATTACAACGGAATTATGGAATCATAAAATCATAAATTGTTGCAGTTGTAGGAGAAAGCAATGGAGGGTAGATACAGTATTAACAGTGGCACAAAGAACACTCTCCACTGGGAGGACTACCTTGTGTTTGGGTGTACCCTCCTGATCCCAGCTTGCGTCGGTTTCTACCATGCCGTCACAGACAGGAAGAAGAATAGCCCTTCGGACTTCCTGGTGGGAAGCCGCCAGATGGGCACCGTCCCTGTTGCCCTGTCCGTGACGGTGACGTTTCTCTCGGCGTTGACGTTGCTTGGGATGCCGGCCGAAGTGTACAACCACGACACAATGTTCTGGTGGCTTGCTGTGGGCATGATCATAGCTGTTGCAGGGGCGGCGCATCTGTTTATACCCTTTCTGTACAGGCTCGGGGTCACAAGTGTTTATGAGGTAAGAAGGGTGTGAAGAAGTAGAAAAGAAGGGAAGTATTGTTAAGTCGCTAAAGACTGTATACATTGACGGAACAACTTTGGGGTCTGACAAAATAGAGAAATAGAGAGAACAGGGGATTGGTCATTTATAGGGGAGACCTGTTTGTGTGTGTGTATGGGGGGGGGGGGGGCTTCATGGAAATTTTATTGAGGAGAGTCATGAAAAAATGTGAGATGTTTTGGTGTGGGTGGGGTGGTGGGGGGTGGTGTGTACATTCCTTCCGTCTCGGGCTGTACAAGTCCGCTGGTGTTATAATATCCGGCACATCCCGCTATTTAGACCTGTATCTCTATCCTGTAACTATGTTGTAATTACTATGCATTGCTTCAGTGGTCATTGATATTTATGGTACAGCTATCACTTCATTCACCAAGTTACGTTGTTAAGGTACTTATCATCTTCTTGAAAGAAATACGCCAAATTTATGTACTTCATTTTTCAAATTCCCGAAACATTGGTATATTTCGAAAATCCTTAAAATTGATGTCATTTATTTTAATTTCTTTATGTAATCAAACATACATTTCACAACTTTTTAAGAAAATTTACCAGTATGTGTGCTACACGAGTCTGCTATATAACTGCAAACATGCGTTGTTGGTGAAACTCTCCCAACGCTCTATCGTCACGTATATTGATACTGAGCAAGCAATGAATATTTTTTAACAGTACTTCGAGCTTAGATTTGGGAAGCGAGTGCGGATACTGGCGTCTCTCAACTGGATCATACAAGTGGTAAGTGGTAACATGTTTGGACGTATGTATATACAAAAGCTATACTAGCGGGAAAACGTAACTGCACAGCATATATTATGTTATGTCAGAGGTGCGGGCGTGTTCTGGTCATGTCGTAGGTGTCATTCCATCTCATCCTAGACATATTCAATGGAGGAGAGGCCTGGAGTAACATCCGGCCATGTCAGTACAGGAATATTATGCTGCCTCAAAAAGACCATTACACCAAATGTATGGGCAACACGTGGGCTGGCATTTTCCTGCTGCATCGTGACGTTACTTCCCTGCATTTGCACAGATGGTAGAACATGATCTCGAATGTCAGGTAGCATACGCAATTCAAATTGCCATTAACAATCATGAGTTGTGTTCTCCCATTATTTCTGATGCCATCCCATATCATTACACTTTCACTCCCATACTGACGACGTTGAGTAACGCAAGCGTCGCCAAAACGTTGTCCTGTACGCCTGTAGACCCGTGCACGACCATCGCAGCGTATCACTGGACGTCTGGGTCGGGTGTTGTGCTCCCTCAACCGGCCGCGTAGGGTTGTGTCACCAATTGGCCACAACCCAGGAATGGCCCGAGCTGTTAATGTGGCAGTTTGGTATTGATTCCATAGATGTACCAGCCGAATATGGTTGTTTAGTTGACGTGACGTCACACGTGGATGACCGGCCCGTGGCAAGTCATGAGTGTAGGCCTGCAGTAGATTACGTCTTGAAAGAAATGATATTGTGTTTCGATGAACATAAAAATGTCTGGCAACTTCGTTTTGTGCCATTCCTGTTCGCAGCATACTTACGACGCGTATTTTCAACAAGCCATGGCATTGCGTAAACGTTATTTACGGTTAAACAAAAACGTATTTTTTTTATGAGCACCTGAGAGCTTAACTATCATTGTGTGCTGTTCACATTGAAAAGAGTGTCATGCTCCAACCAACAGGCAACAATATTAACTGACCCATGGAGATTCCGGGGTAGAATAGGTCTTCAGCAAACCATGCTTGCCGTAAAAGGTGACAATGCTTGTCGTAAAAGGCGACTAACGGGATCGGGTGGTCAGGCTCGCTGACTTGGTTGATGCATGTAATCGATCCCAATTGCGTGGATCGATGCTCATAATACCAATCACTGGATTGTCTGGTCCAGACTCGATTATTTACAGACCGCCGTCATATAGCTGGAATATTGCTGAGTGCGGCGTTAAACAACAAACCAACCAACCAGCCCAACCAATATTAACTGTGCGCCGTGTATTAACATGCACGGGCAAAATGTGAATCACAACCTTAAAGTCGAGGAGTTAGTCGACTTCAAGGACCTGTATGGAAAAATGCATTATATAATTTCAAATAAATTTCTTTTAATTGAAATTTATATTATTTTACGCTGATATATATTTTCGTCAGAGAATGAATACATGATACGATACATAATTGTCCACTTGATGAAAGAAGAAAGTGCATTCTAGGCCATGCGCCATACTTTATTTGCTTTTGGTTTGAGAATGTTACGTGGGGATGAGTAATAGGGGGAAAGATGTCGTATAATCACAGGTGACTTCTCTATTGTTGACAATAAGAACCTTCGTCATTTATTCAAATATGGACCAAAATACCGCGAGCAACTTCTTACCAATTAGGACCAAAATTTAAAATAATTATGGATTCTGTCGAAGAATGTGCCCAAACAGCCAGCTGTCATCCAAAGTCTGTCTGCCCTACATGAAAAGTTTGTAGTTGTTCCAACTGACAAGGCCTCAAATAACATAACCATTATATGTTAGCATCACCAACGTTACATTAATTGTTTGATCAATGAACTTGGTAAAAAGGACATATCAAATAATACTGTAGCGTAAATATACAAAAGCCCATTAGGGCTATACTGGTATTTTGGTTTTTTCTCTTTTGAAAGTCGTAATTACGAGAGAGAGAAAAAAGTCATAATTACGAGAAAAAGGTCGTATCTACGACTTTTCAAAACTCGTAATTACGAGAAAATATTCGTAATTACGACTTTTCAAAACTCGTTATTACGAGAAAATATAGTTTATAATAAAATTCTATTTATTACTTTGTCATTATATCACGGTGACTTTCATCAGCATTGTAAAACACTTAATTACGACTTTTTTCTCGTTATTACGACGTTAAAAAGAGAAAAATCAAAATACCATTAGGGTCCTTATGGACTTTCGTATAAATATGAAAGGCGCATATAACTGTTAAATACGGTACAATTGAAGTAACTCTTGTCTTATGAGCTCAGAGAAGTAGTGATACACTGCAACAATCGACATGTTGTTGATTAAGTTATAAATCTTCCTACGACAAACCCTACACATAAAACACGTTACAAATGCCCCATATAAGATTAGAATGTTAACTGAGGAAGAATAAACCTTGATTTAATCAAGGAAGGACTTTCCTTTTATTCACAGAAAGTATTTGAGACAAGTGGAATTAATACGAGGTTGGTTCTTAAAAACTAAAAGGAAATGCTTGACTTTGCAATCTCAGAAAAGAACCAAGTTCCATTCCGTCAAAGCATTGGATTTTTCAACTTTGGACACCACTATCTCACATGACAAACTTAAGGAAAACCTTCATTCCTTGATCGATGGAGCTTTAGTAACAAAACGTTGTGAACAGAGAAACAGTTACGTATCTATTTACAGAGGTTCAGGGAAAACAATTTGTGAAAAATAAAAGCAATTGCCATTTGAAGTTAACTGAGAAAACAATATGTGGAATGCTGGACTTCCTCACTGATAACATCTACGTACAATTTGGGGTTAGACATTAAGGCATGGGCACAAATTGTGCCCCTTTCTTGTGGATCTGTTTCTTTATGCATATGACCGCCTCCGTGGTCTAGTGCTAGAGGGTCCACCCGAAGAGCGGAAGGTGCGGGGTTCGATCCCCGGCCGCGTCATACAAAAGACGTTAATAGATGGTACTTGTTGTTACCCTGTCTGGCGCTCGGCATTAAGGGGCTAAAACAAGGACTGGTCGGCTCGGAGTCAGTATACTGTGTCTGAGTGATGTATTCATGTTAAACTGCGGCATGGTATATCAGTGGGCTAGCACTATAAATCGGCAACAGTCCGGACTAGTACAAGCAGCCACACACACACACACACACACACACACACACACACACACACACGTACATGCACGTCGCTATATAAGTGCAATAATCTTGGACGCGACGTTAAACCCTATTTCACCTCACCTCTTTATGTATATGAATCGGAATTTCTGTTCGGATTGGCTAAGTCAAAACAAGGTTATTTGGCCAAGAAGTTTAACTTAAGCTTCAGGTATATCTATGATATTTCTGAACTAGAAATAAAGGAAATCAGTCAGGCCGCCTCATCTGTTACACACTTAGATCTGTGCATACCGATTCAAGATGACAAAACACTCTCAACAAGACTGTATGACAAGGGGATGACTTCAACTTTCCAATAGGCAACTTTCCCTTCATGTCGAGCAATATTCCAACAGCTCAAGCCTTTGGTGTCTACATTTCGCAATTTTTGAAAGACAATCGAGCATGCTCTTTCCATCAAGATTTCAAAGAGTGCCATGCGACTCTTGCTCAGAAGTTGTTTGATCCAGGTTACAACATTCAAAGCATCAGTAAAGCTTTCAAAAAGTCTTATGGCAGACATGTGGAGGACATTTCCAAATTTGACGCATCAGTGACAAAAAAGATGTCCGATGCAATTCCCTATTTTGAATTGTACCATATGTTCCCGGTTTTTTTCAGGTGGACAACTGACTTGCATTTGCATGTGTTTGTGACGGGAGCCCCCGGTGGGGCAGGATCCGTTCACCTTTCGCGAACACCTGATTTCATTGCTATTTGATAGTGATTCATGAACACATAGCCGTTTATCATCCCCCACCACGAAGTGGAAGGGGGATATAGGAATGGGTGCCGTCCGTCGGTCCGTCCGTCCATCCGTCACATTTCTTTTCCGGAGCAGAACACAAAAACCATGAGAGATATCTTAACCAAACTTGGCACATAGATAGGTCTAGTGATGAACTGGTGCCTTTTGATAGTTTGGGATTTAAAAAAATATATATATGAGTTTCCATGGCAACGACTTTGTCTTAGACTGAAAATAGCGGTAGTCCTCGTTTCCGGAGCAGATCTTGAAAACCGTACCATATTTCTTCACCAAACTTGGCACATAATGTCATCTTGCAGTATTGAATATTTCCTTTCTTGTTGGCAAGTTCTGCATTGCTTTTGTGTATGGTCCCCCAAAAATGTCAAGGACACGGTTGTTGCATTCACTGCCTTACTTCATGCAGAAACTTCAGGATCTCTCAGATAATTGGCGCTGTATTTCTCAGTACACCTCATGGCGACCCTTGCGCTCATTGATCACTAAGTAAAGTAAGAACTCCCTTACTTCTCTCATTAGTGTTAAAGTAATAACACAACTCATTACAAATACAACAGAGTCACTGATCTTAAACCCACCCAACTGTATAAACACTGCCTCCTATCCTGTATATATTCTTGTCAACCATACTCTGTACTTCAATTGCTTGATAACGGTGATAGAACCTACACCGAAACCATCGCTCCTAATTGTAATAAAGAAGTTGTTCGTCCATACGTCCCATCCTTACTCATTACACATACAGTTACATATTCTATTCTATAGTTATATATTTACTGCTGCAATTAGGCCATTTACAAAAAGATCCAGTGAACATAGTTCACAGGAGCTAATGCATTGCACACAACCGGACATGTCGTATTGGCGGGGGATATGAGTATTTGATGCTTGTTTTTACCTGCTGCTGCTGGAGATTCTCCTCTGAATGTCCTGTGCGAATATGTCGTATCAGGTCTTAAGGCCAGACATACTGCTTGGAACATGTGGATCAAATACGCATGCTGACACATCGATGGTTGCATATAAACTGAACTCTACCTTCTTGACCACACTATTTATACATCTGGTAGATTGGTTTCTGGAATCCAGTTTCTAAATTTCTTATTGATGCAAAGATGTCTTTTGATTTGCTCTTCTTCTTGTTTTTTTAATGATTTCCACTCGCGATATACTATCAACTCTCTACATTTCATTTCATAAAAACTGCCTTGAACCAGATCGTCTGCCATATCTGTCAGGTGATAAGTAGGTATATCATCTCTAAATCAATGATAAAAAAGTTCTTGATAGTCTCTTTAAAATTATGTTTGAAATGAGACAGTCGTACTTGATCTCCAGCTTTTAAGTTAAGTGTTTGTTCGTGGGCTTGTGCTGTGTTTGGGCTCTTGGTTTTGACAGGTTTGATTAGTGTGTCAATGTATTGTTCTTTCCACACAGCATCTTTTTTCTTGGTATACATGTCAGTAGGTGTTCTTTGGTTCAATCATCTGTGTGGTCTGTGATTGTAGTCTTTGAGTAGTAGTCTTATAGTACATCCAGGTAGTGATACGTTTTCTTGTACGTCAAGTATCTATACATAGCAGTCTTGATAATAGGAATCGCTCGATCAGCTTAAGATGCTTTGTTATCATTCTGAGTCACATAATAAGTGACACCCTTCCGTTTCAGATATCATTTCACTTTATTGTTATAAATTTAGATCCTTAAGTCGACGTTAAATTCTTAAGTTATTGTAGCACATATCTTGACGTGACGTCATGGAATCATTAAAGTTCACATTCCATCCCATTGTTCGCTAAATCAACCTTCCCCTAATATGGGACTGACTGCAATGCATCCCAATGCGACCTTCTGTCAGATTGTTTTAAAAGCTTTTTTATACAAACACGAAACACCTATATATTTTTGACACCTAAACAATATGTTCTTGAGTATCATGTTTTAATATTTAATTCACAGCTGCTGTACATGGCTTTCGTGCTGTATGCACCCTCACTGGCGCTCTATTCAGGTGAGATTTTGTCTACATGGCAATCAAAACAATTCCAGCTTCTGGCTTGTAAATAAATCAGCAATTCTTGTTCTAACCCAAATCCTCATAGGTTACTTTCTACACTGTTTATAAACTCTTACCACTATGATATACATGACCTGTTTTCACTCTTGCTTTTGCATAAATCCATGGACTATTGCACATACAATATTTCTGCTTTCATTCATCGGAATGTAAGTTTGTTTGTTTGTTTATTGTTGAACCGCACTCAGCTATATGACAGCGGGGTGTAAATAATCGAGTCTGGACCAGACAATCCAGTAATTATCACCATGAGCATCGATCTACGTATTTGGGATACGATGACATGCATCGCTCCCGGTAGTCACCCCTTATGACAAGCATAGTCATCTTTTACAGCAAGCATGGGTTGATGAAGACCTAGTCTTACCTTATGTTCACGGGTTCGGAATGTAAGTACTCTAGGTTATTCGAATGTCAATCTAGTCCTCGTCAAGAGCCATGTACAGGTAAGGGTGCGTCGCACCACAACAGGTTGTTGCTGCTTGCTGTTATCAAGCAACTTATGTAAATGCGGATGTTTTAGCGTTTGTCTATAGACGGGGACATTATACCGTGCATATATATCGCGTACATCGCCTTTTACACAATAAACAGTCATGTCCAAGGTCATAGCCTGAAGAAAACTTGATGAAAATCTTTTGACATCAGAAGTAGATCAATGTAACCTGTCGCAGCGTGAAGTAATACCACAACCGAAAAATAGATTTAGAATAAATGTATTAGATAAATATTGTAATGTTGGGAGATTTAATGGTTGATTTATGTTAAGTGTTACAATATGGCAATGCGTATTTTAATATTAGCGGTATGCGAGGACGTGTTATGTTCCTTTGAACGGAAGTGAGGGTGACAGCACATGTTATGATTTGAAGAATGCGATGTGGTGAAATGTGCGGGATTTGCGAAAACGATTGCGTTACACATTGAACTTGTCAAGTGAAAGTGTATGTTTGCGATGATGTGTTATGCTTGCCTGAATCCTAACAATGTGTTTTATGTGGCCAACAATGATGGGTCTCAGTAATAAATCCATAAACAATCATGAAGGGTGTTGCATCTCATGGTTACATCACGAAGAGCATGGAACATCAACCAGATGCGTGGAATAAGCTAAAACCACCAAATCAAGAACTGTTACAAATATACTAATAAATAACAGCTTACGTACTCACACCCATTCAACAAGCTTCACCCTATCACCCTTCACAAACTTGACACTCACTCTGTCACTGTGACATACACTTTCAAAATTCTTGAGGGTACTTAACGGTACTGTCTAATACACTAATACTATAGACCCGTGAAGATCCGTGGTAGAATAGGTCTTCAGCAACCCATGGGTCAGCAAAGACAGAGATCAAAACCCCCACCACATTGGCTGGAGATGCTCGTGAAGCTTATGTGTCCATCTCTGGATTTAACTGCACAGCTCTATTGGACACTGGTTCAACAGTGTCTACTCTCTGTCAGGATTTTTAGAGGAATAACTTGTCTCACATTCCTATGTCAACTACTGATGAGGTCGTACACATTGAGTGTGCAGATGCAAATATGCTTCTGTACTTAGGTGTTATACAAGTAGATATTTTTGCTCCACGGTTACAAGAGGAGGACAGTTTGCCAGGTTTACTTCTAGTTGTTCCTACAAGTAGCTATACTGCGAGGGTTCATGTACTTTAATGGACACCTCTTATTGTTAGATGTAAAGATCACAATGGACCAACCTTCTTGCAGGAGTCAAGCATCCACACTCCATAGTATCTTACTTTTTGCAACATGGTGTTATCGGAGAGAAAACTTTCAAAGACAAACTGGACTTGTTAAGAGTGCAGAGACCATGGACATAGTCGTACCAGCCAACAGTAGTAGCCTTATCATCCAGGAATATATTGACAAGGAGAAGCATTATTCGATGACAACCGTTACCTTCATCCATATAAAGAATCGATGTTGCCAGACATAGTTGAAGTCAATCTTCCCAATGCAACTACATGGACGGTAGTTGTTCCACCAAAGGCAATACTCTGTGAGGTTCAAACAGTTATTATTGCAGACGATGATCTCTGTCACCCATCTTGTGAAGTCACATCCATACTGGAGAAAGTTGAATTGGATGAGTCATTGATTGAGGAATAACGTCAGCTTGGAGTACAATTGATATCAGGATGTCCAGATGTTCCTCTCATAATGACTTGAACTTGGGTCATTCAATAGCTGTTAAGCATAGGAGAGTTTCCATTTGCTGCATTTATATCAACGATCTGATTATTTCGCATGCTGGAATAACAAATTGATAGACTTACCAGGGTTTTCCCGAGATTCAGATAACGAAATCTGAAGTTAGCTCCCGACAAGTGCTCATTTTTCAAGAGAAAAGTGACGTATGTTGGATATTTCATATCTGAGGAAGGAGTAGAAACTGACCCGAGCAAGATCGAAGTTATCAGGAATTAGAAGACGCCAACTTCCCCAGTTCTTAGGATTCGCATGTTACTATAGGCGATTCGTTCCAATATTTGCTATGGTTTCCAAGCCTTTAACCCACTTAATGCCAAGTTCAAATGAAAAGGGCAAACTGTTAAATGCAAAGGAGTTTATCTGGGAACCGGAACATGACAAAGCCTTTGAGGAATTGAAGGATAAATTTAACCACCGATACTAGGGTTTCCGGATTATTCCTTGCTTTTTAAACTTTTGAACACAGATGCCAGTCAACTAGTAGAAGGAGCAGTACTCTATCAGAAGCAGAACGATAAACTGAGAGTGATCGCCCATGCAAGCAGAGTGCTCTGAAGATAATTATCCAACACACAAGCGAGAATTTCTTGCACTCAGGTGGGCCATCACCGACAAATTTCATGATGATCTGTATGGTCATTCATTTGCAGTATACACAGACAATAATCCCTATCTATCTAGACTGCCCAGATCTGCAACTCAGGATACTGTTTATGAAAGACAGGAGATCAAAGAGTATTCTATCAGAGCTGTAATCTGTAATTCGCTATCATGCATGAACCTAATGGAACTTCTCAGTGTTTCAAGTGATTCTGTGACATGACATGACATGAGCAGCATCGACTGGAAGAAAGCAAAACCTGCTGATCCAATTCTTACAGTTCTGAGAATATTTGTTACTGAGAAAAGACCAACCCCAGCCTATGCCTTGTATACCAAAAGACAAGTCGAAGTCTGTGAGTGATTAAACCAAAGCTGACCTCATGCTTATTGATAAAGTCCCTTTCTTGAGTACAGACTCAGCTGCTTCAGGACTACCCACATTATCCATTGATGTTGCAGCTGAGCTGGAAGTCATGGCGGAAGTTCAACAAGGTGGTGACGATCATCTAGAAGTTGAAAGACCAGTAATCTGCTTGAGATGGGGAGGGAATAGAAGAGGCATGATCCCAGATGATTGTCTCGGAAACTGCTGTTGAAGAAAAGTGTCAGAAACTAAAGCACAGGCACCTCTAGTAGAAAAAGAAGATATGAAAGAGACTGAAGTGGCACCAGAAGATCCGGAAGTTCAAGAGCAGCCTTTACCTCGTCGAGCTGCCAGGGACAAAGACTAATCGGATGATAAGTAGGCAATATGTAATGTTACAGACAATAGGTGGATGGAAAAAGCTCAATTTCTAGAATCATTAGCGTCCAGAGGTGTGTTCACGATTCTTCCAGATAAACGTTCTGATGCTCTCCTTACAGTCCTAACTGAGCCTTAAGTATGGTACAAAATGTTTGCTATTTCTAGCACAGATGCACAACATGACGAGCACGCCATATATGAACAGAGGGGAATGAGTAGCAATGACGTTTTCAGGTTGTATTTTGTTTTATTTAAAAATCCAATAAACAGTTATGCAAAAACATTTCTTGTTCGTGTTATACAGTTTTGATTGTAACAGTATTATTCATGGTATTCAGTGAAATTGTACCTTTAGTTTCTCACGGCTGAACATGTGAGGTTGGAAACAAGAGAGTGGAAACCAGGTATAAGGTATCAGTTTGTCGTCTTACTGAGACGACAGAGCTGCTTTGTCTTATAGATGGGGTAATAATAGTCTTCTTCTACGTCTCATAAATAAACAGCCTCACACGTGTTTTCTCGGCGTTATCAGCTGTTACATGACAAAAGTCTGTTTTGGGTTAGATAAGTGTGAATGTGGTGTACATTTTTAGAGAAATGATAATGTGACAGCCATTTTGAGTGGGTGATATTGTCAGTTTTAGTTCATGTATATGTTGTTAAATAAATTAGCTTTAATTAGCTTTCAGTCTTCGTTTGTGTACTGCTCTAATATATGGTAGTCTGTGTTATAATGATGGATGTTTTGGGACAATACGAGTAGAGACACTGTGCATGTAGTAAGCCACTAAAATTTCTCTATTGATCAAGTATATATTATTACAACTGTTGAAACCAACTGAACCAACCATCACTAGACAACACAATTAACACATAACATTTATTTGTTGAGAAAACAAATTTAGTTTTAGCCCTATGCCAATTATTTGGCACAGCAACAACACAGTTAACATTTTTTTGACAATGGTAAACGTCAATCTACACCTGGTACATTTTACACAAGAATAACTGTCTCACGATTATTTTCTTGATAAATATAAATTTTATTTATAAATCTCAGGATAGCGTTTAACACAAGATTGTGCTCACTACTCTTTTTGTTCACATGAGATGGATCGTCTTCACTCTGTAAATCTTCCTTGATTTCCTTGCTGATGTCAAGACCATTTGGACTAACCACGGGCTCATATTGATTTGGACAAATATGTGTTAAGTTATTGAGCGAAAATTAAACGTTTTCATTGATGGTTTTTCTGGTGATGCCTTGTCTGACGCAAGTTATCCAAGCGCCTCATAGGTAGTTTGGGTTGCATACACCCCAGGGTGCTCAGAATAAAAACTGAGTACACACTGATCCATTTGCCATGGTTAAAATAAAACGCTCTGAGCATGCTTTAGGGTGTGGATTAGGCACATTACTAATATGTAAATGGTTATTTACGTTATAAACATTCACAAATTCCACTTAAAAATGACCTGATGAATTTAGCTGAATTTGTGTGTGTATAATCAGTTGCAAGTTGAAGTCATCATCATTAATTCGGGCATTTTTGTTCAAAATGTAATGAAATGAGGTATATTTTTGGTTGGTAATGAAAATATTTCGCAATGTTTTTTATTATGACCTTGATTTGCATTTGGTTAATGTTCTTAAATTCTCTCACATGATTTCTTTATCCTGTAACCATACATGATCAGAAGATCGATCCAGATGATCCCCGAAGTGATAAATCGGTTGAATTCTGGTGAGCGAGCTGGCCATGGAAGAAGGACGAGGTTGTCCGCAGCCAAGGACTCCTGGGCGACACCTGCAGCATGCGGTCTAGCTGTGGTCTAGCGCTGTCGTGCTGTGAGGGTGGTGCCTGTTCCTGTTGACAAAGGAATGGTAACACCCAGGGTTGGAGCACGTCATCCCTGTAGATCTGGCCACAGATGATTACAAATCCCGTCCAACGGTTGCCACAATTTCCTCCCCGAACCATCATCCATGGATGCATTTCCTGAATCGCGCCATTCGAGAGATCTAATTTTAATGAAATTGAATGAAATTACTCTCATGAGCTAGAGAATTTCTATTCTAAGTCGGAGGCCCGAGCATTTGTCGTGGCGGATTGACAATAACAGTATGAAGATACATGTCAATGCCCTGGTAATCAAGAAAGGTTAGAAATACATTTCCAATATTTATATCGTGTGTTCGGAGGTACATGGTGCAGCCGTGAACTTCCTTAGCTGCCCCGTTGGTAACTTATTGAATTCGAGATCACTTGAATTCATACCTCTTTGGACAAAAACATTTTGAGTGTGGCTTGAAATTTGTTTCAGTGACTGGATTTGACCTGTGGCTGTCCATCTCAACTGTAGGGATCATAGTGACCCTCTACACCGCTCTGGTAGGACCTAGTTAGTGAATTTGTTGGTATATTCATGATGTGTGTAAAATGTGGAGAACCAGATGTTCAGTGAGAACAGTTCGTCTGAAAAACCCATCTTCCCAGCGAGAACGTAGTCCATACTTCATGGCCTTGTATACCTACGTTCCTCAATCACATGGCATGTGCTTAGTCGATTTGTCTGACTGCCTGTACGTCTGGCATGTGCTTGGTCTGACTGCCTGTACGTCTGGCATATGCTTGGTCTGACTGTCTGTACGTCTGGCATGTGCTTGGTCACAAAACGAAATGAGTCTGTGTAAACCCATGGAAGCCAAATGATATGAAGCAAAGTGTAGCACAGATGGTACACCCTACACGAACAATAGTATCGATTTAATCTGATCGCTGATTGGCCTGAACATTTTGCTGTTTTTTCTCTGGCTAAAGCCTCGTCATGGCTTGTACAGTTGGTTTAAAATAGCGGCTGTATCGCAATGTGGCCCCATGCATTCACGGATGATGAACGAACGTAGTGTATGCAACAAACACTGCAGTAATTGACGTTGGGTGAATGGAAATCGGTTTTCTTAATATAAAAAAAACGTTTTTCTCTTCAATAAGGGAAATTGCATTATACCGACAATTTGAATTGTACGATCCCCTACCAATTCAGATAATGTATTTTTACAAATCGAAAATTAATCAAATTCTGCCATTCCCACAGAATATTTGTGGTGTCTTTATTTTTATTTTGGATATACACATTTGCTCACCTACTTGCAAACACCTTATATCATCACTATTTAATAATGTTTTAAAACCGCATGATCGTGGCATGGTAGTAATCGTACAATGGACTCTTACTAGATGTCTTATGATCATGGAAAGTGTTTTGTCGCTTATATTTCCAGGGCGGCATGAAGACGGTGCTATGGACAGACAGTTTGCAGACGGTTGTCATCATTGTTGGCCTGGTGTCTCTGCTAGTTCAGGGGTCGCTGGCAGTTGGGGGATTAACGAATGCATGGAGAATTGCTGAAGAGAGGGGACGGTTACGGTTCTTTGAGTGAGTAGATTCTTGTTACTGGAACCTTCGGAAGAGACGACGAGAACCGTATTGTGACCATCAAGAATGCCTGAAGAACCCGAAACAAATGTAATATGCTGAAAAGACTTCTTTGCTTTCAAATTCGGAAATATCGTTAAGACACATGCGCACTCATGCGGTTGGTTTGTTGTTTAACGCCGCACTCAACAATATTCCAGCTATATGACGGCGGTCTGTATAAATAATCGAGTCTGGACCAGACAGTCCAGTGATTGACATCATGAGCATCGATCCACGCAATTTGGATCGACTACATTCAACAAAGTCAGCGATCCTGACCACCCGATCCCGTTAGTCGCCTTTTACGACAAGCATAGTCGCCTTTTACGGCAAGCATGGTTTGCTGAAGACGTATTCTACCCCGCATCTTCAAGGGTCCTGTTTCTCGTGACATTCAGGCATAGCTCTTTTCTTGACAATAACATACTTCATCGATTCTTAGTTCTTTCCGTGACATTTTTACCGTATCATTTCTATCAATAGTTAGATTATGAGACATAAAGAAAGGGTTAAAGTGTATGTTCTGACCACAATTCAGGGTAATCTTATTTTGTATGAAATAATTATTATGCATGTTTATAATCCTTCTAGTTTTGATCCCAACCCGGGGGTGCGTCACTCGGTGTGGTCTGTTGTTTGTGGGGGCGGGATCATGTGGATGTCCCAGCTAGGTGTCAACCAGACTCAGGTACAGAGACTAATGTCCTGCCCGACCCTCAGGAAGGCCAAAACGTGAGTATCTCAATCAATGGGTTACCGTAAACTCAGATAATATTATGCAAGGCAAAACGGTGGTTAAAACTCCTACCTCTTGAGGTCCCGAGACAGGAGGGCCTTCAGCAACCCGTTTGCCGTAAAAGGCGACAATGCTTGTCGTAGGAGGCGACTATGCTTGCCGTAAAAGGCGACTATGCTTGTCGTAAGAGGCGACTATGCTTGCCGTAAAAGGCGACTATGCTTGTCGTAAGAGGCGATTATGCTTGCCGTAAAAGGCGACTATGCTTGTCGTAAAAGGCGACTATGCTTGTCGTAAGAGGTGACTAACGGGATCAGGTGGTCAGGCTCGCTGACTTGGTTGATGCATGTCATCGTGTCCCATGTGGATCGATGCTCGTGGTGTTAATCACTGGATTGTCTAGTCCAGGCTCGATTATTTACAGACAGCCGTCATATGGCTGAAATAGTGCGGCGTTGATAAACAAACCAGCTATTGATCATGTGTTCTATGTTATAAATTTATCCCAATATATTGTACACTTCAGGGCGCTGTGGCTGAGCTCTATAGGCCTGGTAGTAATTGTGACGTTCTGCACACTAACAGGGGTGGTTCTTCACGCTTTCTACAGAGACTGTGACCCCCTTAAATTCCAGAACCTCATTACTAGTTCCGATGAGGTGAGCTCTATAACGCAATGGCCTTTTTCCGTGTTGAATGACGGTATTATATCCTATAAATCTTCAGTTCTCGTTCCGAATGGTCATCTAGCGCTACTACTGTAACTCGCATTCATTAACACTTTTTGTCCCAGCGCCAAGATCGCTGTATGAAACGGACCTAAATATAAGGCAATATATGCACTGAAGTGCGGATATGTACAAAATTATACAAAACACGAAAAAAACCGGATTCTGGCGTTATAACGCTCTGCAAAGTTTCGTGTCAAAGTAGTCAGATATTTAGGCAATGATTTAAAGGTTAACTATATAATGTACGCCAGGGGCACGGGTGGCCCGTTCGTCTAAGCCGCCGCGATTCGCTGTGCAGAGTTGCGTCCCTTGGGCACGCCAGAAACCTATGATTGTGGTTTCGAAACCCGGTTCGTCCCCGATTATGTTTCTAGGTTTGTCAGCACCATACCCGTGCTCGTGGGTTTCACCGAAGTGGTAAACGTCTGAGACCTGCATCACTTCGGGCTTTCCTCCCACATTAAGCTGAAACGCCGCGATATAACTGGAATACTGTTAAAAGCGGCGTTAAACCCAACTCACTCACTCACTCACGATTAGAAGTCAGAACACACTGTAAAGAGTTAAAGACGGAACAGGCGGAACCGTGGTAAATTCAACATTTGAAACATCCCGCTGCGTGTTCGTTTCCAATTCAATTAAGCGCGGTTCAATCAACTTGTTACTTAGCTCTACATTGAAAGCACAGTATGTTTATCTCCTGATTTCACAGGGACAATGTCTGACCTTCACAAATGGTATCATTACAACGTCGTTTTGACCCTGGCATAAAATGAGCATCAGTGCGTGAGTGAGTTGGGTTTAACGCCGCTTTTAATATTATTCCAGTTATATCGCGGCGTGTCAGCTTAATGTAGGAGGAAAGCCCCAAGTGCACCAGACCATGCTGTGTCGTCTCCATAATTTGAATCAAACAATTCATTCACTTGTTACATCATGTTGATTCCTAAGTCAACCCATCGGTACCCATAGAACCCAATTTGGATATCAGAAACTAACCACACAAGATCAATGAATGATTAAGAAAATATATTGAACTTGACACAGGATAAGGTTTACAGTCATAAAAGTCAATACAGTCGGTAAAAAATATGCGACAACAGCAATAAATAACAAGCCTTTTAGATAAGTGTATTTACAAATGTCCTGGTATTGCCGTAGTTGTAGAGATGGCAGTGGTGGTTCTTTCACGTAAGTGAGTGAGTGAGTGAGTGAGTTGGGTTTAACGCCGCTTTTAACAGTATTCCAGTTATATCGTGGCATGTCAACAAAGTGATGCAGGTCTTAGACGTTTACCACTTCGGTGAAACCCACGAGCACGGGTATGGTGCTGACAATTCTAGAAACATAATCGGGGCGAACCGGGATTCGAACCCACAATCATAGGTTTCTGGCAACTCTGCACAGCGAATCGCGGCGCCCTAGACGACTGGGCCACCCGTGCCCCCCTTCACGTAATGACGTATCCGTATGAATCTGTCATGTGCGCTAGTAGTGACACGTGGTCGACCGGATCTGGGAAGGTCACGTGTTGTGCCGTGTGTCTGCTAACGGTTCCTAAGCCTTGAAATGGTGCTTGGTGCACCGTGGAAAAACCTGGCTACAGTTGAAGATGATTCTCCTGGTTGCAGTCGGGCGATGGCGTGGTTACGTTGGGCTTCCGTCAGTCGTGGCATGTTTCCGCTGTTCACTTGCTGTAAGATTGTGATCGCATGCAAATGAAAACCCAACGCGTTTATAACCCAACAAGTGATGTGATGCACGTGCATGTCATGTTGGTGTGTTTCGGCACCAGACTCACGTGGTTGTGTTTTTCACCAAATTTCTGTAGTACCTAATACTTTCTACACAATTCAATCCCAATCATGCAGAAATTACCAATTCATTTTTTATATTATTTTTTTTATGGATCTCAGCAATTCTCTCAGATATTTACGATTTTGCTACTTTTGCGTTTCTTTTTTGGCAGAGTGTATATATTCATGTGTTTAATCATTAAGTATTTTACCATGTATATATTGTCTCTCATAAGTCGCCGAGTGTATGATCGTAGCGTTCCACCTGTACTGATATATTTAATGCCTTCCGATTTAAGATTGTAGGTACCTAAAATAAATATACACGTTTGTCTGTATCTCTATCTAAATTCTAAATGCCCAAAAGATGATATCACTGTTTGATTCAGCTCCTTCCACTGTTTGCAATGGACATATTTGTGAACACTCGAGTGCTTCCTGGCATCTTCCTTGCATGCATCTTTAGCGGGAGCTTGAGGTAAGGTTTCAGTCATCACAATGAATATATGAATATATAAAACTCAACGCCAGAGAATACAGAGTCTCGATTATCCGACGAAACAAATTTCATCAATGGCATCAATTTCACTGCTTACCCTCACCTTATCACTTTTATTCAATGATCCATATATATAAACAAAGAGAAAAGTTAAGCACACTCTAATATATTTCATTATTGTTTGGTCCCGATATTTGAAACAGTCAGGAAAGATAAAATTACGGGAAGAATTCTCGAGATGATGTAATCAGTCATGCGTGACGAAAACTCACGTGACATGTATGGTATGCCCGTGCAGCATGCTTCTCTCGGTATCTCTTAAAGCAGTATATCAAAACGTTACAATTGCTTTCTTAAGCTCGGTTTTAAACAGTTATTCCGTGACATTGTGTGACCATGGCACGAAGGCGATTATCAAACGCCACAAGATGGCAAATGATCGGCATTCAGAACGCAGGAATGTCTTGTAACGCCATTGGTCGGAATTTGGGGTATCATCACACTGTCGTAAACCGTTTAGTCGAGAAACATGCTCAGACCGGTGATGTACAGGACCGTCCCAGATCCGGAAGACCCCCTGTGACAACACATCGCGAAGACAGGGACCTTCTTCGTCTCCTACACCGAGAACCCTTGTTAACAAGTACTCGCGTAAACAGCTGAGGTTGCCCAATCGTCGTTTCAGCATCAGAACCGTCAGGAACCGGCTGAAAGCAGCAGGACTGAGGGCTAAAGCGTCCCTTGTTGAGAGATCACCACAAAGCTGCTCGTTTAGCATGGTGTATTGCGCGACAGAACTGGAATCTGAGAACTTGGACGAGTCCATTGGTCAGATGAAAGTCGCTTTCTGCTCCAGGTCACTGATGGAAGAACGAGAGTTTGGAGGCACCGGAACACGGCCTACACCCCCAGGAACATTAAATCGACTGTTGCATACGGCGGGGGCTCGGTAATGGTTTGGGGGTGTATCTCTCATGCTTCCAGGTTGGATTTGGTCACCATAAGGGGCAACTTAACAGGGGCTCAGTCCATCCGGGACGTTTTGAGGCCAGTCGTCTTTCCTCATTTTGACAACCACCCTCTTGCTACTCGACCGCAGTACATAGATGACAATGTCAGTCCTCATCGTTCGCATGCAGTCGTGGAATACATGAGGGCCAATGCAATAACGACTCTACCCTGTCCAGCAACGAGCCCAGATATGAACCCCCTTGAACATGTTTGGGATATTCTGGGGCGGTGCATACAGGCACGATATCCTCCTGTACAAGATTTACGCCAATTGGAAGCAGCATTGCATCAGGAGTGGTTGTTGTTGACCAATCAACAGATCCAACGTCTGACTGGAGGCATGAGACGTAGGGTGGAATGCGTCATCCAGGCAAGTGGAGGTTATACCCGCTACTGATCTGTTTCACGTGTCATGTCAAGTAGAGACGTTAAGGAACATTTTCACATGAAACATCAAACGTAACTCGTTAGCTCCATACTTTTTTAAGGTATTGTCTAAGGTAAAAAACAGTACCTGTGTTACCATGATGTTTTTGTCAGTAAATTTCAATCACAACTCACCAATATCGTCTTTATTTGTTGTGAAATGTTTGTTCTGTCCGGTGACATTGGTATCGCCCAGCTCATGTGGTCAATCATCCCATGCCATGATTTTTGCCATTTGTTATGGTTCAGAAATAGGGGTGTGCTTAACTTTTTTCTTTGTGTATATAATTTTCATCACTATTTTACTGTTATGCCCAACGGATTATTTAGGGGCAGATAATGGAAACTGATTATTCTCTGGCGTTGATATTATGATTTGAACATATTTGTTTGAGTTGAAAGAAACATATAGGAATGAACAGAATAGAAATCGATTCAAGCTCGACAATTTGTGTAACCATAACGGCGGGGGGGGGGGGGGGGGGTCGTCTTGTATACAACGTTATCGCCAGAGAAGAAAGGTCTCTGTTATCCGCCTAAACAGATTCCATTCGGCGTAAAAGGCAAACTAGCGATGAAAATTATATTAATTGATCACCGAAAATCAGTGATGATACCGGGTGTTCGCGAAAAGGGTACACATATCCTGCTCTACCGATGGCACCTGGAAATTTACACAAAAAGATAAGGGTTGATTTGTTGCCTGAGTTTTTCTTCACAAGACCTGTTATAGTATTGAGATCAGTGTCCAGGGTAAATATGAACCTACATTACCTTATTATTATAAACAAAATAATTTCACAATGGTCTTGTGATATTTTTGACATAAAAAGTACATACACATCGCATCCAGACACCATTAACACAGACGAATGTATACATGGTCAGGTCCAGTACATGAGAATTACATCAATGGATCTTAAAAAGACAGTGATACAGCATCCATTGTGAATAAAATGGGTACTTCGATTAAAATGATAGTTTAATTCGAAACAAATTAGCGTTTAATTCTCGTTTGAAATAGTTACGAGAAATGTGCTTAACCTTGCATTAATATATGAAAGTCAAAGACGTTGCCAGTACTGTTAACAAGTACAGAGATTCCACTGCGCAAATGAAAACGTTGCGTGTGTGTGTGGCAGGGGGTGGGCAGTTTGTTGACTGTAGATGGCTGAATTAATACATGCTACTGAGCTTATGATCAACTGGGGGACGTCAGTCTACCAGCAGAAACATCGACCCAGTTCAAGTAAATATAACCTTAATGCCAGAGAATAACTAGTCTCAGTTACCCGCCGAAACATATTTCTTTGGCCGTTAACGGGAAAGTAGGGGTGAAAACATGTGAACGGATCATTGGAAATCATCGAATCTACAGATACAGTAAACTACGTTTATAACGAACACGCTTATAACGAACTGACGGATATAACGAGCCTACTTTTAGTCCCGACCATTTGTTATATATATGCTGTATGTATGCTTATAACGAACTACGGTTATTACGAACTAAAATTAGTGGCCCCCTCGAGTTCGTTATAACCGTAGTCAACTGTAATAGGATTAAAAATATTCCAGTAAAGACGTTATGATAGCCATGAGATTTAAGGACCAATTTTTCCCTTTTCCAGCACCCTTTCGTCAGGTCTCAACGCCCTGGCAGCTGTCATTCTCGAAGATTACATCCGGGTTTTCTGCTGCACAAGAATCACGGACTTCCGGGCCACCGTTGTCTCCAAATGCCTTGGTAAGGATCACTCTCCTACCCAGAGTTCCCTGAAGTCGGCAGCCGCCATAGTACCTCTGTCACGGGTCACGCCATGCGACAATTCGTCACATCTTTCACAGTCCATTCAAGATATTGCATGTGTTTTTCATCTGTTTCAGTTTTTACAATTCTACACATTTAAATAAACATATGTCATAGAATGGTTAACTTTCACTGATAATATATCCTAAAACGAAAAGTACTATTTCCATTTGTGTAGTTATCCTTTGTTTACATTGGTTGTACGGCTCCACGTGCTGTCATCGAAGCCATACGGAAAGCTAGCGATAACGTCACTTTGATGTAAAGATATACCGTCATGCACCTCACCGTTGTAGTTGTAGTACCATATCTATATAATTATGCAAAACAATATGTAAAGCGCACCAAAGGGCTTGCGTTTGGCCAGTATGTTCTGATTTCAGAATAAAACGCGCCTGTTTGCAAACAAGAGAAAAGTCTGGTCACGTGATATGCAAATTAGCCTGTGGCAGTGGTGTTATGCTACGTCACCACTGCGCCGGAGTGTGAGTAAGGATGGTGACTTCTATTAACCCATGTAATCCTAGTTCCGCCGCATGGAGACTGTTGACAAATGTCATCATTTTCTTGTAGTCCTGCTGTGTGGAGCAGTGAGTTTAGCTGTCGCCTACCTCGTTTCATCCTTTGGAAATATTCTTCAGGTAAGGTGGGGTGAGGTGAAATGGGGTTTAACGTCTCGTCCAAGATTATTGCACTTATATAGCGACGTGCATGCACGTGTGTGTGTTTGTGTGTGTGGCTGCTTGTACTAGTCCGGACTAATGCCGATTTATAGTGCTAGCTCACTGAGATACCATGCCGCAGTTTAACATGAATATCCCACTCAGACACAGTATACTGACTCCGAGCCGACCAGTCCTTGTTTTAGCCCCTTAATGCCGAGCGCCAGACAGGGTAACAACAAGTACCATCTTTTAACGTCTTTTGGTATGAGGCAGGCGGGGATCGAACCCCGGACCTTCCGCTCTCCGGGCGGACGCTCTACCACTAGACCTTGGAGGCGGTCCTTCAGGTAAGGAAACAGATTGGTCCCTCCTTAACTTACCTGAAAGTCTAGAAAGAGGGATGAGGTGAAATGGGGCTTAACGTCGCGTCCAAAGATTATTTCACTCATTTAATATAGAGAAATGCATACACGTGTGTGTGTGTGTGTGTGTGTGTGTGTGTGTGTGTGTGTGTGTGTTTAAGCTTTCTAAAAGTTTTAGGGCATTTCCATCGGATGTCCGGATAAATGTCGGTTTTATTTGTGCAAGCACACTGAGATACCATGCCACTGTTTAATATGGTTTACCCACTCAGACACATTATGCTGATTACAAGCCGACCAGTCCTTGCTTTTATATTACCAAATGTGGCGAGTAGTTCACGGTGCTATCAAAGCGCCGACAGTGTTTGTTGTTTGTTTGTTGTTTAACGCCGCACTCAGCAATATTCCAGCAATATGACGGCGGTCTGTAAGTAATCAAGTCTGGACCAGACAATCCATTGATTGACATCATGAGCATCGATCCACGCAATTGGGATCGATGACATGCATCAACCAAGTCAGCGAGCCAGACCACCCGATCCCGTTAGTCGCCTCTTACGACAAGCATAGTCGCCTTTTACGGCAAGCATGGGTTGCTGTACTACGTCATAATAGTGTCTGCATTACACAGTGCGATCTCTATGGAGTTGTGTTCACTAACCTTTATTGAACGTGATGGATAATAATAGCATTTACTTACTTTCAGATGTGCTACTCGATACAGAGCATCATGGATGGCCCACTGTTCGGACTCTTTGTCCTCGGAATGTTCTGTCCCTGCGCAAATTCTGTTGTACGTACAGGACATGAGATATATACATATCGATTAATATATACATATCGATTAATATAAATAATATCGCAAATCATCGAAAGTCAAATGGCATCACTTTGGTAGCCTTTGTCATCTGGCGGCGGGGGGCACGGGTGGCCGAGTCGTCTAAGGCGCCGCGATTCGCTGTGCAGAGTTGCGTCCCTTGGACACGCCCGAAACCTATGATTGTGGGTTCGAATCAAGGTTCGCCCCGATTATGTTTCTAGGTTTGTCAGCACCATACCCGTGCTCGTGGGTTTCACCGAAGTGGTAAACGTCTGAGACGTGCATCACTTCGGGCTTTCCTCCCACATTAAGCTGACACGCCGTGATATAACTGGAATAGTGTTAAAAGCGGCGTTAAACCCAACTCACTCACTCACTCACTCACTGCAAAGAGTTGGTGAGATTGTTGGATGCTTCAAGACGATCGAGTTTATCCCACAGATGTCCAATAGGATTGAACTAAGGGTGTTTCCAATAGGTTGGGAAAAGCAGTACCTGGGTGTTTGACATTCTAAACAAATCCAGGGCCACACAAGCTGTGGGGTGTCAAAGTCAAAAGAAGTTTATTGTACAAAAGGCCCCCGGCCCATATACAAGAAAGAGTTAGGCATATAGATACAATCATAAATGTTACACATTGGGATATACACGTTGTTTGATTAATTCATTTCTTTTGGCTAATGCATGCTTAATATAAAGAGAAAGATTTAATATATTTGATTCGTTCTTTGTCCTCAGCATAACTACAAAGGCGTTTATCGGTGACATTGCTGTTAAATAATCTTTTAAATATTTCTTTCGGAGATCATTGTAAAATGGACAGACAAACACAAAATGAAACTCATTTTCTATCTCTTGATTACACAATGGACAAATTCTTTTCATTTTTTCAATGGACAATTTTCTTCCTTCTTTTACAAATAGGTCTAGCAAACCAAGTCGATAATTAATTAACTGTTTTCTTAAGTTTTCCGTAGTGAGTACTGATAAATATATTTCTGGTTGAAGTAAAGTCTTGAAAGTTTTGTAATATTCATAACGTGAACTATCCTCTAAAGTGGAGTGCCATTCTTGGTAGAACATAATTATAGACCGATTCCGAAATTTATTAAGAAACATATTTACATTTCCAACTGACTGGCATAGCCATATAAAACCAAAACCAAGCGAAAATAAAAGATTTCTTATATGCGATGTCCAAGTATTCTTTCCCATGTTATCTAAATGTAGAAGCGTGTTATAAGCTAAATTGGGGAGACCTTGTTCATGCATATGAAGGATTTTAAACCAGTATTTTAAACATCTGATCTGAATATATAATGGGTATCTACCACATTCACCATAAACCATGCAATTTGTTGTAGAAGATCCGACACAAAGAACCTTCTCAAAACAGTCATAACGTTGAAATTCCCATACTTCAGAACCATGCAATAAATTGGTTGTATCTGGGTATCAAAAAGCTTAAAGAAGATATTAGGTGACATCGATCCAACTTTATGAGCAGTAGACATTACACTTATTAAAGCTTTCTTTGCACGCATTGTGTGTGAAAACTAGATTCCTAAATATGAGTTGTGATCTACTATATTGACTAACTGACCATCGAATGACCATCTCTCTTTCGACGCTATATATTGGACCGCCTTTTCTGAAGATCACAATTTAAGATTTTTCCAAATTTACTGATAATTTCCATTCTTTCGTGTATGTACAAAAAAAAATATTTAATTGTCTTTGTAGACCAACAACAGTATCTGACTCTAGGATGACATCATTTGCGAAAAGTAACATTAATATTTCTTTCAAATCTGGAAACATTTGGATACCATGTTTACCACTGGCAGCTATTTCGTAATATAATTCATTAATGAAAAATGAAAATAAGATCGGACTCAAAATACAGCCTTGTCTTAGGCCCAAAGGACAATCAAAGAAATCTGTTAAACTATCCTCACAACGAACACATGATCTCACATTAGAATGCATTGATTTTAGAATAGTAAACCTTTTTCCCACGTAAACCAGCTTTTCGTAGACATGTCCATAGCTTAAAGTGATTAACAGAATCAAAAGACTTTTTAAAATCTACATATGCCACATACAAGGTTTTTTGTATAAGTGCATAAAGTGTAAATACATGATCTACGGTGGAATAACTTTTTCTGAAGCCAGCTTGAAATTCAGGAATCTTATCACGCATGGTCGCCCATTTAGAAATTCTATTGTTTAATATTGTAGTAAATACTTTTCCTAAAATGCTTATTAATGAAATACCTCTATAGTTATCTGAGTCACTCCTGTCACCTTTTTTTCATGGAGGGGGATTATTATAGAACATGACCAATTGCTGGGCAAAACTCCATTTTCAAATAACTTATTGAAACATTTGCAAAGAAAAGGCATAAATTCAAAATTAGAACACTTCAACATTTCGATAACTACATCATCAGGACCAGATGCTTTTCCCTTCTTGAGGTGATTTATCGTATCTAATATTTCGTTTTCAACAATCGGTGAATCTAGCAGAACTTCATCAACATCCGTGTAGCATTCACTAAAATAATTTTGCATATCATCAATTGTCATAATGAATATTGCATCATTTGAAAAAACCTTCTTAAAATGACTAAGCCACTGCGACTTTGTTATGTTATCTGTAGCAGAAGAACTATTCTGAAGAGATCGTACTTGTTTCCAGAACCCAGAAGGGTTGTTCATAGACTTTTTCAGTTAGTCTTGTCTATGTCTACGCATATCAAATATGTATTTCCGAGAGCAACTTTTTATATTTCTTCCTACTTTCGCAATATTTCTCTCAGTTCTAAATCTTCGTAGTGCTTTGCGGGCGTTACGCCTTGCAATTCTACATCCATAGTTAAAAGTTTTAGTTTTATCCATGTTCAGTTTTAATTGTTTTCTCATACAAGCTGCTGAATTTAGCATAATTTCAACAAAGTCATCAATTGGCCCCTCAATATTATTATCAAGTTTATCTAGAATTAACTGTTTAAAATATGTTATACTTTCTTGTAGTTTGCTCAGAAAGTTGTTCGAAAGTTGGTCATTCCATATTAGTTTCTTCTTAGTGACACCCTCATATTTTAATTTGGTATATGTTTGATTCATATGAGGGAACTACAAGTCAATTCAAAAGGTAAATGATCAGATTCTAGACGATCGCCAATATCCAACATCTTAATATAATCGAAGAAATCGGGGGAACATATAAAATAATCATTAACGCTCGCACCTTGGTTTCCACAATAGGTAAATTCTCCAAGGGTATTCCCATACACTCTCCCATTGACAATGAACAACTGAAATGTATACAACATATCTAGCAGCATCTGACCAAATTTATTAATAACGGTGTCATGGGATTTCCGATCTCCAACACATACGTTTTCATCTTCGGGGAATGGACAGTTACTATGAACAAAATCGTTTTGTATATCGACTAGAGGATTGTTTTGTTGACCAGTACGAGCATTCATATCTCCACAGACTACACTGATAGAATCTTTAAGCTGCGACTGATTATTTAATATAAACTTTTCAAGATGATCATGATTTGAGACCATATGGCTATAATACGGCGAACCAGCTGGTGGTATATATGTACATAGCAAGTTTACATTTATGTCAATTGTAAGTAACACTTTTGATATGTTCAAGCACAGGAGATTATCTACATCTGATTTAATTAACATACAAAATTTACTGACGGATTGATGGACACAAATACCACCTGACAGCCTTCCGTAGTCAGATAATTTTATTTCTGGACTATAATAAATATCATAACCAACTAAACAGTTATTATCAAAACTACAGTCCACAAAAGTTTCCACAAGACATGCTATTTTAAATTGTTGTAAGTATGATATAAAATCAGCATCATCAATTTTGTTTCGAAGTCAGTTAATATTCCAACTTGGAAAGGTGAATGTTTCGCTTGGACAATCAACGTTTAACGTAACACCGGTGTTGATAGTGTTAGGATCTTGTGAAAAACTATTCGGGCCTCGGCCAATATCCTAGCTGATAGAAGCATGTGACACTGTTTTTCCATCCGGTCTTCTATGAAAAGATCGGCTTTCTCGTGTCGTGTCTGTAGTGCTAAACGTTGTTGATGTTGTTTCGATGGTGAGGGGTTTTGTCATCAAACGACCATCTTTGAAATACCCAAAAGTGTTGGTGCCCTTAAGTGCCTGAAGCTGTTGACGTTGACGTTGACGTGACGTTAGGTCACTAGAAATTCCAAGTTCCCCTTCCTTGAATGTGGGTCTCGCTTTCAAGGTACGAACTTTGTCGTCAGACGAATGTAGCTAAGCAATCATTGGGGGAGGGCGATTTGCATTTACACGTTTAACACGAAAGTCTGTGCGCGTGTATTTTGTCCAATGGTTGCCACGTTTTGAATTTAGCATGTTCATTGAGGACAGACAACACAGTATCTGTACATGCCATTGATTTTTGATCTCCTGCAAATGCCGGTATTCCGTGGATGAGGGCATCCTTCCAAAATAACTACATGCCACGAGCACTACAGTCTACAACAGAGTTAATGGTCCAGTTGGCAGCCAATTCCCTGCTTGCTCCCTTCATCCTTATATGGACTAGTCTTAAAACATACGGGGCGGTCGGGTAGCCTAGTGGTACAAGCGTTCGCTCGTCACTCCGAAGACCCGGGTTCGAATCCCGACTTGAGTACAATGTGTGAAGCCCATTTCTGGTGTCCCCCGCCGTGATATTGCTGGAATTGCATGTTTGTTTGTTTTTTGTTTAACGCCGCCTTCAGCAATATTCCAGCTATATGGCGGCGGTATGTGTAAATAATCGAGTCTGGGACAGACAATCCAGGGATTTACATCATGAGCATCGATCTACGCAATTGGGAAAAGATGACATGCATCAAACAAGTCAGCGAGCCTGACCACCCGATCCCGGTAGTCGCCTCTTACGACAAGTATAGTCGCCATTTACGGCAAGCATGGGTTGCTGAAGACCTATTCTACCCCGGATCTTCACGTGACAAGTGTAGCATGTAGTGATTATGGCATGTAGTTGTTTTGGGAGACAACCGCACTGAGCTATGACCTATTGGTCGTGCTGTGCTGTGCTGTGCTGTGCTGTGCTACTCTGCTAGGAGCGCACATGAACATTTCCATAAACCTCCAGACATGGAAACGTGACTCAATATTTGAAGTGGCGTGGCGCATCTGCCTTACGCCATAACTCGCGCACATTTATCTCGCGCAAATTGTACCTGTATTGACATACTTTACCCATATCTTCAAAGAGGTCCCACAAACCCAATTAATTGCTTGTTAGGCCTTTCTGGCCTTTCATTTACGCACCACACACTCTACAAAGCACTGGGTTTCATGACATGGAGTGCATACAAATTGCTTTGAAATAGCTTTAATATTTCTTGTTCTGGCGTTAAACATAATGCTCTCTCCCAAACTATTTTCAGAAATAAACGACGAGTTATTTATCGTACAATAATACACTGCAGGGAGAATTAACCATGAGGGCTTGCAAAATGTTGTGCAGCCTTTTTAAGGATGTTAATAAATTGTAGAAGCTTTAAAAACATTTACCCGTATTTAAATTACGAATCTCCAGAAATTAAGATTGATAGAATAATGTTTTATCGTGAAATAAACGACGCTTCGTTCTTCATTGTTCTTGGCGATGTAACATATAATGTTGGGTTTTTTTAATTCAAAGCAGACCCTTAGTTTTCTGTTGTGTTACATAGGGTGCCACCGCTGGTTTCTTTACCTCCCTGGCGTTCATGTTGTGGATTGGTATCGGTGCCTATGTGAACGGGGTGTCAACGCCAACATCCTACACCTCCGTCGACGGTTGCAACTGGGAGACAACTGGTTACAACAATACAGATCTACAAAGTGTTTACAACATCACCAAAGGCGACATCGTTCAAGCTAGTGAATCTGAAATATCTGAAAAGTAGGTGGGAATCATTGCTTTTTGTAGATAAGGCCATCTCGTGTAATTTAAAGAGCGAAGGAACAGTGCCCCGAGTGTTCGATTGGCGTGCCAAAGACGCGGGTTCGATTGCTCGTGTACATAAATTCCCGGGGTTTGAAGCTGAGTTAGAATAATGGGTATTGTTAAGTATGAACGGATTATTGTTCCCGAAAATTCAGATTGCTTATATTTTCTTTTGCAGAAACTACTATTCAATATATGATTTATCCTATCTCAACTACACTGCTACCGGAATGACTGTCACCGTCGGCATCGGAGTACTAGTGAGCCTTGCTACTCGTATGTATGCTCCTATTCAGTATAATGACCAAAAGTGAATACCCAATTAAGGGTTTTAATTTAATTAAATTTGAAGGCGCCGCAATTCGCTGTGCAGAGTAGGGTCCCTTGGGCCCGTCAGAAACCTATGATTGTTGGTTTGAAACCCAGTTCGTTCCGATAATGTTTCTATGTCAGAACTACACCTGTGATCGAGGGTTTCACCAAAGTGGTAAATATCTGAAACCTTTATCACTTCCCACAGTAAGCTGACACGCCGTGATATAACTGGAATACTGTTCCAAGTGCGTTAAACCCAACTCACTCACTCACTCACTCATTTTTAAAAGGGTTTTTAAGAAATTTCGGATGTAAAGATTTCATCAGAAAAGAGAAAGACAAAATTGGCATTTTGTCTACTCTGACATTAATATGCCAATGTGTGTGTGTATACACTAGCGGAAAAAAAGTAACGATGCTTAATATAAACTTTAACAAGAGAAAATTGATTCTGAAATTACATTATGCATCTTTTAATACATATTCATGAAGACATCTCCTCGACTTTAGATTGATTTACAATTTACACGTGCATGTGCATGTTCATGCACAGCGTTTAATTTGGATGTTTGCGTTATTGTTTGAAGTATGATGTTCACACAGTCGTTGTTTAGCTATATCAGGTGGTCATAAAAACACTTTTGTTTCAAAATAACGCTCACGCAATGCCACAGCTTGCTGAAAAGCAACATCCACGCGTCGTGGGTTTGCTGCAAACGGGAAAGGCGCAAAACGAATTTACCAGATATTGTGCTGTTCATCGAAACACATCATCTCTTTGGTGGTGTTATCTACAGCAGGGCAACACTCACGACTTGCCACGGGCCGGTCGCCCACGTGCGATGTCACAACCATATTTGGTTGGTGCATCTTGGGAATCGAGACAAAACTGCCACATCACCTATGACAAATCCTGGGTTGAGACCAATTAGTGGCAGAACCGTACGATACCGGTTTAGGAAACACAACATCCGGCGTACGCCACGGGGGCAACATCGTTCAAGATCATGTTCTACCCTGATTGCAAATGCAGGGACGTAACGTGACGTTGCAGCATGACCATCCGCCCACATGTTGCACGTGTTGTAACACACCCTCTGAGGCAGAACAATATTGCTGTACTGCCATGGTCGGCTGTTTCTCCAGACCACTCCTCATAGAACATGTTTTGGATGAGATGGTCGGCGCCAACGACAACCCCAGATCCAGCCGGTAACGCTAGATCAGTCTTTGGTTGAGTATGAGTATGGTTTTACGCCGCTTTTAGCAATATTCCAGCAAAATCACGGCAGGGGACACCAGGAATGGGCTTCACACATAGTACCCATGTCGGGAATCGAACCCGGGTCTTCGGCTTGACGAGCGAACGTTTTAACCACTAGGCTACCCGACCGCCCTGTCTTTGGTTGACATTTGGATAATGTTTCTAGGTTTGTCAGTAGCATATCCGTGATTTTGGGTTTCACAAATCTGGTAAACGTCTGTTCATTCACTCAGTTCCTTTGTTTTCCAGGGCGGTTTTGTAAAGGACCACCTGGAGCGGCTAAGTACAGCCATCCGGTACTGGACGTAATTTGCCCCTGTCTGCCGGAGAGCCTTCTGTCTGTCTTTAGATGCAGTGCACCAGAACAGGTACAATGAGAAATCTACCATGACTTTGCAAAATACCCTTTACTGTTCAGGCTTAATCAGACTCATACTGAATCATAATAACAACCTTTGAATGAAACAATCTGAATTCGTGGGCCCATTGCCGCGGAAGATGACAGTGATAGGATGGTATGCACTCATTTATGCACAGACATTTACAAACAAGGATATAAACAAAAGTAAGTAACAAATGCAAAGTTGTGATTGTTAGAATATTTAAAGCATGTGTGGCAGTACATGTTTTAGACAGAAAACACAAGAAAAACACACACACACACACACACACACACACACACACACACACACACACACACACACACACACACACACACACACTTTGCCTTCCTACCCTATTTGCTACTATGTTATTTTACACCCAAGGCAATCGATTCTAACTAACTTTTTATCTTTTCAAGGAATACCAAGCGGCGCCTGTCAACGGCGATACCGACGTGAAGGATTCAGGCTTCTGATATGTTCAAATATGGTATACATGGTTTCCAATATTGGCTCCATGTAGGATTGTGTTTTAGTGGAAAGATGCTAGAGTTATCAAAGGTCCTCCCTCATGGAGGTTGAAGTGAAGACATATACTAAAGAATCAATGTTAATATCCTGTCCTCCTAACATTTGATCTCAAACATGTTCTTTTGTGTATTGATTACCCATATATTATTAGTCCCCTGTGCCACTCTTATTTCAGATCCCGACATATTTTTATGTTACAGCTTGCCAATAGTAAACTTGTATCAATATTAATTTATAATCCAGAAAATTTATTAGAATAATCCTTAAAATTAGCAAAAGCTGCACTTTCCTATGTCCCATCTAGAAATATTTCTATATCATCAGCATATGGTCCAAATTTATGTTCAAGTACGGTATGTCTGTTACAGTCAATGTGTAAATTGACTACTCGGTCATTTTGCAAATATTTTTTCCGAATGATTGACTAACAGTTATAAAGAAGTTGAAGGAGGTTAAAAAACATCACACTAGATTAATTATGCTGGGATAAGAAGTCAAAAGAACTTTCAGAATATAGATTGACTTTTGTTTTCTTTTAAGCCTATCATTTTCAGTCACTCGGGTATGAAATAGAGCATACAAATGTTTGGAATTCGTTATCATGATATAATAAATGCAGAAATAAAAGTAAAATGTCTTAAATATTTTGGCGTTTTGAAATTGGAGTCATTTTACACATTGACTGTAACATCTCAAAATATTAGACATGATTATATGTCGTTTGTGGTCCGATTCAAATCTCGAGAAGGTTGTAAAGTTACATGGATAAAAATAAAGAACCTAAGAAAAAATCATTTGACAGCCATGTTAAGTTGTGAACTGACTGTAAAATGTTTCGGCTGATGCATTGGGTGATCTGGAGAGTGGTTGCCTCGCCTCAGCGTGACAGGCAATCCGTGTCCTGTATTATTGTTAGTCTAAAGGAAACACGTATTTTCCATTAGTGAGTCTTGAGCAGGGATGTGAGCAGGTTGTGTTGAGTCATATCAGTGTGCACAGCTGATATACGTAGATTAGCCTGGGATTTTCACCCGGCTTTTGAAATATTGGTATCGGTACCAGATCTACATTTCATGGCATCCGGCGTCCTACTCTGCGGCATCCGGAATACCACTTAACAGGGCTCAAACACATATCTGATATGTGTTGTAGATATTTTACAGAAAAAGTGATTAACGAATACAGGCAGGATATACAACTGTCACATAACAAGGTAGTCACAATTTTATGGATAACAACTTCTTTAATACTGTGAAAAGCGACGTTTCGGTATAGATCCTTATACCGTTGTCAAGCAAGACTGAATGAGGGACATAGTACACAAGCCACATAGCCACAAGTCATCAATCAACAGAGATCAAGGCTATTTCATCCCATCCGCCTACTATGAACTCATCAAGCAATAATCATTTATCCTGTTTATTGGCTTCATGTCCCTATTGGCTTCCACCTATGTGTTCTCTGTCCACCGTGTTGTCACAGCATCATCCCTTTGTTGTCAACACCTACCTATGTTATCCCACTCCTGTATGCAATTGTTGTTACTGTTAATCCTCCATCTACTATATATATTCTGTACTATGTCCCTCATTCAGTCTTGCTTGACAACGGTGTAAGAATCTATACCGAAACGTCGCTTTTCACAGTTTTACAGAAGTTGTTATCCATAAAATTGTTTCTACCTTGTCATTCGTCAACTTCTAAGTAATGCCTATCAAACAATTTAACTTTCACATATCTCCTTTAGAATGGAATATAGTATAGACAATGTTTTATATTTCGAGCATGATTTCCTTATGTTTAGATTTGAAGAACACACCGATATGAACACTATTGCTTATGCAAGTTAATTTATTACGTTCTATTTCATATACAGTAAACAACGGTTATACAGAAGTCAAAGGAACCACTAATTTTAGTTCGTTATAACCTGAGTTCGTTATTAGCATATGCACAGCATATATAGCAAAAGGGCAGGACCAAAAGCACTTCGTTATATCCTTCTGTTCGTTATAAGTGTGTTCGTTATAAACGTAGTTTACTGTACAGGGCATGGTATTCTGTTTCAGGTATGAGACATATTGGACACATGACTTCTAAATCACAAAGCCTTCCACAACATTTCTGTATTCGGAGTCAATGAAATTTACTTAATGTCCTCCTGTGGTATAGGTTAGTTATATCTGCCAAGTATAATTTACATTCAAGCAAAGATTTAAAAAAAAAAAATTCTACTTGTTTTTATGTATTAAGTATACCTTGCCAATATTGTAAACAATTGTTTGAATACATTAAGGAACAATATTTCATCTCCAACCTCTTGTGGACCCGTGAAGAATCCGGGGTAGAATAGGTCTTCAGCATCCCATGCTTGCCGTAAAAGGCGACTAACGGGATCGGGTGGTCAGGTTCGCTGACTTGGTTGATGCATGTCTTCGATTCCAATTGCGTGGATTGATGCTCATGATATTAATCACTGGATTGTCTGGTCCAGACTCGATTATTTACAGACCGCCGTCATATAGCTGGAATATTGCTGAGTGCGGCGTTAAACAACAAACCAACCAACCAACCAACCTCTTGTGACAACGATACTGGGTCGACAGGGACTCAACTCAAGAAAGTACTAGAATCTGCACATTACTAAGGAAGTGTTATCCCAATCTGCACATTACTAATGAAGTGTTATCCAATCTGCACATTACTAAGGAAGTGTTATCCAATCTGCACATTACTAAGGAAGTGTTATCCCAATCTGCACATTACTAATGAAGTGTTATCCAATCTGCACATTACTAATGAAGTGTTATCCAATCTGCACATTACTAAGGAAGTGTTATCCAATCTGCACATTACTAAGGAAGTGTTATCCAATCTGCACATTACTAATGAAGTGTTATCCAATCTGCACATTACTAATGAAGTGTTATCCAATCTGCACATTACTAATGAAGTGTTATCCAATCTGCACATTACTAATGAAGTGTTATCCAATCTGCACATTACTAAGGAAGTGTTATCCAATCTGCACATTACTAATGAAGTGTTATCCAATCTGCACATTACTAAGGAAGTGTTATCCAATCTGCACATTACTAAGGAAGTGTTATCCAATCTGCACATTACTAAGGAAGTGTTATCCAATCTGCACATTACTAAGAAAGTGTAATCCTAATAATAACATTTGTTACATTTGATCACTTTCTAAATGGCATTGTGTATTCATAGCTTTCGGCCATGGGAGCCGTGCCAATTTACATTTGTCAGAGTGGAACACAAAGTACGTGATCTAGACTACCAGTTGTCATTTTTGTGGAAGCCTCGGTGGCTGAGTGGGTTAGATCGCTGACGTTGTGTGCGGGCGATTAGATGCCTCGCTCTGACAACGTTGAATCGAATCACGGATTGGGCTCAACCCCCAAAACTACTAGAATCTGTACTTTACTAAGAAAGTGTTCTCCTAAACATGTCTTACATACTGTTCCACGTCCATTACGAAGGAGCAGAACTTTAACATGTGTTGGCCAGTTGAGGGGTCTTCTATCGCATCTTTCCTTTAACAAAATATAACACTGGTGTGGATATCTATACGGTTGCCGTGATATTAAGCGTAACCAATGCTTAATGTACCTTGTAAAATAGATAACTTAAAGACAGCTCTCTCCGTATGATTATAGTCTCTAACACATGATGGTCGATTCTGACAAAAGCCTTTTATGGTTCGTAGAAATTAGATATATTGATATCAGACATGTATTTATACCGACAACTTGTGTTGTGTAATGTTATAGTCACGTGAAATAGTGAAACTAGTACCAATAGGGATACCTTGAAATGACAGTGGAGATTAAGTGAATCGAGATCGCATTAACGCGAAAGGATATGAACCTCATACCTCATACTGTTTCAGTATACACACAGTGTCTTCTAAAATGTCATGTACACTGTCGAACTACTTACAAATTTCTAAATATAATTGAAGATATATGTGAAACTTTCACATTGTTGCTGTATTTTATGGAGTAGTCATTACCTGTTTGATCAATATGAATAACAAATCTTGAGTTAGAGTGAGAGAGTGAGTTGGGTTTTAACGCCGCTTTTAACAGTATGACAGTTATATCACGGCGTGTCAACTTAATGTGGGAGGAAAGCCCGAAGTGATGCAGGTCTCAGACGTTTACCACTTCGGTGAAACCCACGAGCACGGGTATGGTGCTGACAAACCTAGAAACATAATCGGGGCGAACCTTGATTCGAACCCACAATCATAGGTTTCTGTCGTGCCCAAGGGACGCAACTCTGCACAGCGATCTTGAGTTAGAATACTGGCCAACGAAGTGTTAGCGATATCAATGACCTCCGGTGCCAATTTGGCCGAGCACAGTCCCACTTTAAGATTTCTCGTTTTCTCATCTGCATCTTACTTTTTGTGACCCTATTATGCACACAGCATACATAACGGTATTGTCTGACACTTTAATATTTAAAAGGCAGAGCGAAAGCAAAATAATGTTTTGAAACAACTTACACATAGATATGTTGTTTAGATTATCACAATGTATCCAGTATCTTCTTTATAGAATGTATTATCGTCCACAAGGTTTACTTCCTGTATTCCACCATTAAATATTCTTTCTCTGCCAATATGTCTTTGTTATGTTGATAAAATTTTACTTCTGAGTTTTGACAATAGGAATTAAGGTAGTGTTCTTGTGAATCGGTCTTCCACAAATGCGTACAATAGCAACAAGAATATAATGTAGGGTACAGTTGAATTGTAAACATGCATCGCTGACACTTGCACAACTTGTTCTCAACACATGAAGATCTTTTTTCGTTAGTGAGTGGGTTTGGTGTAATGCCACTTTGAAAAATAGTTCAGTTACATTACGGCATGGCATCTTTATATGGGACGAAAGACCGTTCACAACTTTGGTGGACCTAAGGTTGGTTGGTTGGTTTGTTGTTTAACGCCGCACTCAGCAATATTCCAGCTATATGACGGCGTTCTGTAAATAATAAAGTCTGGACCAGACAATCCAATGATTAATATCATGAGCATCGATCCACGCAATTGGGATCGATGACATGCATCAACCAAGTCAGCGAGCCTGACCACCCGATCTCGTTAGTCGCCTCTTACAACAAGCATAGTCGCCTTGTACAGCAAGCATAGCCGCCTTGTACAGCAAGCATAGTCGCCTTGTACAGCAAGCATGGGTTGCTGCGACACAAAGGAGCATGGTCATGACAAACCTAGAAACATTCGGAGTGAACCGGGATTTGAATCATAGGTGACGCACGCGCTTCTGGACAGGGAATCGCGGTGCCTTAGACGCCATGGCCATCGGTGTCCCCAAACGTCCCAGTGAAATCTGTCAGAAAGCCTTTTGAGCACAAATGGTTTTTTTATTTCGTTACGTTGTTTAGTTCCACTTTCATTATACTCGATTTCGTTTCCTTTACCATCTCAATTTCCATTTGTACCAAAATGGCAGCCTTCAGCCAGGAGTGTTGACCATGTGCTTGACCAACAGAAATACAGTCTTGTGTGTCTAAAACAGCCTTGGCGTCCTCTATCCATCACGAACCGCCCGTCCCTCACCCGTGCATCCAAGCACCGTGTTTTCAAAATCCAAATATGACCTCTATTTGCGATCTTTGAAAATATGCATTAATGTGACTCAATCGCTGCCCAATTCTAATTCTAGTTGCACAGGTGACATGTTATGCTAAGTAATCGTGAAATGGGTTTTCTCTGACCATAGATTCAATAATTACGCCGGCGGTCAACAAACAAAGGATAAATAGTTTAACATATGAATTTATTTAAGAATAGTAACAATATGAACTCGTAGACATAGAAAACAGTAGAGTACATAGAGCACTGCAGTACTAAATACTGATACTGACACAACTTGTTATATGTCTGAGTGAAATCTAAAGCACCAGAGGATTGTTTGTTTGTTTGATGCTGCAGTCAGCAATATTCAAGCTATCTCACACCGACAAACCAGCGAATAACATTATGAGCAACGTCCGAACCAGAACAAGGAAAGCCAATCAAAGTGTGACCACTTAAAACATCGCAGCATACTACAGCCATTGAATACTCGGGGCCTGTTCTAATCCTGAGACGCCATGGTGTAGACGCGTATTACACCAGTTCCAAGCCCTATAAAATACGAAATTGTTTTCCTTTCTCAATACGTATTTTCTTGTGTTTAATGCACACATTCTTTCCAAACTTACAGCTGAGAGGGGTGTGAGTATTATACATGCAGACGATAATAAAAAAAGCGACAAGGCCCCTTCCATTTCATAAGAAATCTTGATTGTACGATTACAACAATATCATGACCATATGTTTATGAATCACTCTCCAATAGTGACGACACCAGGTGTTCACGAGTTAAGATTTTCCCCCAAATCGGAAATATTACTGCTGGCAGCTTCAATCCCTGAAATGTCAACAAGCCTGCAGTGAAGTATGCGACCTAGTCCCGCCACCACGCGTTCGTTTTGGAAACAGTTTTCTGGCTTTATGATTTTAATCCATTTCATTAATATCCTTTACAAAGATTCATTCAAATTTGTCTAAAACCATTTTGGCGAAATCGTAATTTCTACACTCAGCCAAGTCTGCTTCAACATAAGGCAGCAACGTGTGTCTTTATTAGAACATCAAGTCGATGAGAGCACACCCTCAATGGTATGCCAAAGCAAGAAATAAGTGTCTGCAATACCTTGTTAGTCGACCCGAAAGTCTCGACACAACACTAACAACAGGTGGACGACTGTCTGGAGGAATAGGGCTTCACTGAATCAATATTGAATTTCTCTTGTTTCAGTTAGGATCCAACACCTATTTTAAAGATGGCCATTGAGCATCTCATTTACAGTGCGTCTTAATCCCAAACCATTATGGTACCACTGGTTTTCCTACCCATAAATCCTAACTTGAAGCCTTAACTTGTGTGTGCAGAAAGGAATTGGGAGTTATAGGGCACATGTTACTGTTGGTCTTCAAATCAGAAAGATAATATCAGTATTATTGTAACAACAAATAAATTTACAAATGTCGACACTGTTTTAGACCAATAAATTTGGTTAAGCATATGCGACAAACTGAACATCATTATAAACAACTGAGATCCAAGGAATCTAATCTAGTGAATAAGATTCAAACCAGAATTCCCAATACCGTAATTAATAGTGAATTCCAAAACACAGATACGGTGAATTTTGTTCCTGGGAAGTACCAATCTCATTAAAATCAGAACTTAGTTTTCGCTACTGCAAAACAAAGATCTGAAGACATCCCATTACGGGTCACGTCAGAACGACCTTTCGCGAACTTTGACCGACCAATGAAATGACAGACAAGAGATCGACATTCGCCAATCAGAAGGCAGCTTTCTCGAGCTTTACGATACTAGTTTCAAATTGGCAACTACGCTTCGAAATATATATTGACGTAGTCTCGATTAAATCTTTTAAAACTGATCAAAAGAACATTCTGGAATGGCTTATAGATGGCCTAAATTGTATAGATCATAAAACCCGTAACTGTCGTTCGGAATACCCCCTGTTAAATATTTTGAGGTTGCATGATTAGAAAACACATTCCGACTGTCACTTTCATGATCTGGTAAGCGACACTCTGGTTGGATGAGGGTCGTTCTGACGTGACTTGTAATGGGTAGCGGTAGCGAGAACTAAGATCTGATTTTAATGAGATTGGGGACGTACACACATATGCCATTTATGTCAAATCAGTTAAGTGAAGATTAACATAGGATACTTCTGTTTTCCTGCAGTGACAAAACACATATACAAATGTAAAGATGGACAAATTTTTCTTTTCTATACACTGTACCTCTTTTTTATAAATTATCTAAATGCCATTATCAAACAGTAAATAAACAAGCATCACAACCTTATCTGTCCACTGTACAAGTACGAGGTACTGGTGTGTGTTGTTTGATGCTGCACAATACAAAATAACCCCTGTAAATAAAGTGATTGACATCATATGCATCAATCTATGCAATTGGGATACCATGACATGCAGCAACCAAGTGAGTTAGCCTGATCACCCGATCCAACCTATGCTTTAGGTGAGAGGTGACCAAATGGATCGGTGCTCAGGCTATGTGACTTGGAGGATGCATGTCATTGTATGCTCAATACTCATGATGTCAATCACTGGATTGTCTGGTCCAGACTCGATTATATACTATCTACTGACCGCCACCAATATTTCTGAAATATTGCTGAGCTTCACACATTAGAGTGAGTGAGTGAGTGAGTATGGTTTTACGCCGCTTTTAGCAATATTCCAGCAATATCACGGCGGGGGACACCAGAAACGGGCTTCACACAATGTACCCATGTCGGGAATCGAACCCGGATCTTCGGCGTGACGAGCGAACGCTTTAACCACTAGGCTACCCGACCGCCCCCACACATTAGACCCATGTGGGGAATCACACCCAGGTCTTCAGGCATGACAAGTAAAACAAGTAAATGCTTTAACCACAAGGCTACCCCAATGCTGCCTCACCTTGCAGGCAATAAGGTGAGCTGTGTACTACTGATATTACTGCATGTATTAATTACGTACTGACAGTGAAATCTGGGGGGTTGATACTCTTAGCAACATTTGAACTTGACTCAAAACGAATCCATGATTTCGAAAGCATCCAGGGTATTGAAGATAATACGGATAATTCACTGGATAATCGAGGCTGAAACTGTTCGCGTCAAAACTCCATGTGACTGATTGTTGTCATGTTACTATGGTAAGCAATGGCATAGATAAAAAACTTTACAAAAGGCACAGGCAATGCAAAGATTTAACAAATAACAAAAAAGATAAACAATACCAAATGAGGTCTTTGAAAGGCATTTAGAAGTGATACACATAAGGAAGAGAATATATGGATGTCAAAGTAAAGATGTAAAGTGTTGGCTTCCGTTGTCTGTTGTTAATCAGCCATCAGCGCCAATCATCTGTTGGCTTCCCTTGTTAGTTTCTACCCTTTGTTATTTTCCATCTTTTGTTATCTTGTTAATTTTGTTGTCCTTTTATGTACATATATATGCTCTCTGCCTCATGGCATTCATTCACCTGAGGAAGGAGTAAGCATATACTCCGAAACGTTGTGTTTCTCATAATAAAGAAGTTGACATCCACATATTCTCTTCCTTAATACAAAATGCATGACCATAAGGTTTACATCAGATCTTGAAACCAGAACATAGTTTGAAGACAGTGATCCTTTATTGGGATCCAAATTACCAAGTCAAGCTGCTTGAGGGGAAGAAGTAATTTTCATCGAATGGTGACTACATGTTTATCAAACTTCCTGTTCTCTTTACTACGATATATATCCTAAATTCCTACCCTATCTGTTTGCAACTTCAGCTCCTTGTCCGAAGCCCAAGTCTTGTAAAATTGTGTTGGGTCCAGTTACCTCAGCTAATAAAGGTCAAAATATGACTCAGAACGTTTTAACACCAACTGTTAATTTAGGGGGAAAACCCATAGCAGTTTTATACCCATCACCATCCTTAAATATCCATGATGGTGGTCATTTGGTGAAGAGCTAAAGATAATTTCACACAGAGTTATCTTCCTTGTGTATAACTTGAGTTTGAATGTTTTCTTCCAGCTTTTATGCTTTGTTTCCAAAAATATCACAACAAAGATATTCGTAAAATATGGGGCTCTTAAGGAGAAAAAGGATATGGATAATTGAGTTTCTCCCCTATTACTATTTAGAGTGAGTGAGTTGGGTTTTTAACGCCGCTTTTAACAGTATTCCAGTTATATCACGGTGTGTCAGCTTAATGTTATAGTCACGTGAAATAGTGAAACTAGTACCAATAGGGATACCTTGAAATGACAGTGGAGATTAAGTGAATCGAGATCACATTAACGCGAAACTGATGTTCAAGGATATGAACCTCATACCTCATACTGTTTCAGTATACACACAGTGTCTTCTAAAATGTCATGTACACTGTCGAACTACTTACAAATTTCTAAATATAATTGAAGATATATGTGAAACTTCCACATTGTTTCTGTATTTTATGGAGTAGTCATTACCTGTTTGATCAAAATGAATAATAAATCTTGAGTGAGTGAGTTGGGTTTTAACGCCGCTTTTAACAGTATTCCAGTTATATCATGGCGTGTCAGCTTAATGTGGGAGGAAAGCCCGAAGTGATGCAGGTCTCAGACGTTTACCACTTGGTTGAAACCCACGAGCACGGGTATGGTACTGACAAACCTAGAAACATAATCGGGGCGAACCGGGATTCGAACCCACAATCATAGGTTTCTGGCGTGCCCAAGGGACGCAACTCTGCACAGCTAATCGCGGCGCCTTAGACGACTGGGCCACCCGTGCCCCCCATTACTATTTAGATCATAAATAGATGTATGATGGACAGAAACACCTTGGTGGTTTATTGTGTGACACTAGCTCCAATGATTCGACAACTTTGAAACTGAGTATGTTTGGAGTATGCATCTTCCCAAGGCAAGGGAGTTAACTGACCATAAAAGTCCAGTTTCCACCCTTGCCAAACTAGATAGGAGTATGATATATTAATTAGGATAACAAAAACCAAACTGATTTATTTGGTGTGTGTGTATCATTGATGGGTTGAGGAACATTGAAATAGTCACAGAGTTCTGCCGAACCCTTCATTTCTGGCGTAAATAACCAAAACTTGGAACTAGTCCTCTCAATACAAATAACATTGTGGCAATCTAGCATCATTGAAATAAGCATAACAAAATAATTCTGCTCAATGGTATACATTTAACATTGGGGTAGACTTTGTAGAAGATTAATTGTATCTTCTGACTACAGAAACAAATTAAAATTCTATGACTGCATAATAAGAAAATATGTTACCACATCACCTTTCAGATATGAGATAAGATATTATCAAAATATGATAGAAAAGTTATGAAAATACAAGGAAACACTGTCGTCAACATGATCAAGAACATATGAACATGGGTTGAAAATAATTTCAACATTTCACTAAGAACAATCACAGAAGAAAGGCCAATAGGGCTATGAAAACATAGAAATATTGTACGACAAATGTGTAGACATCTCAAAGTCTACACTGGAAGTGTTGCTGATGGAACATATCTGTTGTCAAGGCAACTGGTGTGATCATCCGACTTGCCACTGTAAAAATAGAAAAAGTAAACACATTATTTAATCAGTTTAAGCCAGCTTTTCACCTGTTAACACAAGTTTGCAAACACAATCTCATTAGAATCAGGTCGGCTACTCCTGTGCCATTTAAACCTCTCAGTGAAGATCTGACAACATCTTGCAAGAGGTTATAACCAAGTTGTCAGATACCCCAGTTGTCAGATACCCTAGTTATCAGATACCCCAAATGTCGTATACCCCAGTTCTCAGATGCCCCAAATGTCATATACCCCAGTTGTCAGATATGCCAAATGTCATATACCTCAGTTGTCAGATACCCTAGTTATCAGATACCCCAAATGTCATATACCCCAGTTCTCAGATGCCCCAAATGTCATATACCCCAGTTGTCAGATACCCCAGTTGTCAAGATACCCCAAATGTCAGATACCCCAAATGTCATATACCCCAGTTGTCAGATACCCCAAATGTCAGATAACCCAGTTGTCATATACCTTAGTTATCAGATTCCCCAGTTGTCAGATACCCCAGTTGTCTGATACCCCAGTTGTCTGATACCCCAGTTGTCTGATACCCCAGTTGTGGTTTTATGAGTTGATATATCCTATTTATCATATAATGGTTAGGTTTCTCGGCAGGATAAAGCCAACGGAAAAAAACGATAACCGTTGGGGTCATATGCGGATAGAGATGCAAATATCAAAGGTCAAGTAGGGATTACTTTCAGTGTTTATAAACAAACATGGCGTCGCCCTTGTAATAAGGCGATCGAGTCAGCATTAACCATTGGGAATCTGGATAAACTACAGGGATAACTGCTATCATTATCAAAAGAACAGTCTAATATACTGAAAATCAGTGTCTAACTGTGACATAGCTAAGGCATTTTTATAAGTTTTGGCAACTTTGGAGATATAAATTTCGAAACCATTTTGCGAGGGCACGAGGCCTAGCCAAGTGGGATCAGTAGCCATATCTGTGCTTGTAGACTTCTGCACCTTTTCCATAAATTAAAATAGTTGGATTTGGATGAAATATGTTTGAATTGTTACCTTGTTTTTGTTTCGTTCTGACGCTGTGTGTACATCTGACTGCACGTCTTAATGTTATGACAGGACAGGCCGACTGTCAACAACGTGGCCGTCACTTCTCATGACTAGAGTAGCTTCCCCTTGACAAAGGACAGTTACTCTAGCGGACAGACCGATGGATTGCCGCGAAAGGCAAGTAAAAGCAATTGTTGTTTTGCGTATATGTTGCTTAGCCACTGCATAAGAAACAGATTTCAGTTGGAACTATATTGGCGACTGTCACTGTCCGACTGACTTACCCTGAGATGTAATAAATATTAATGCACGCATTCCAGGAAAACTCGCAATGTTTCGGTAATGTTTGTGAGAGGGGGAAAGCGATTTTCGGAATTAAAGAACGGCATTATATGATAAAGAGGCTATCACCATGATCACGCTTGTGTGTTTGGGGATGGTAAATATCCTGTATTAGGAATAAACACCATGTCATGATGTATTTAGCTTGCCAAGGCTCGCTAAATACAATGTTCATGCAGGATATTTACCATCCCCAAACACACTTGCGGGATAACCTCTATTCACAGTGTTGAAACATACAAGTGAAAATCTGGCCACCAGCCAACTCGTCTTGCATCAAAACACTGGCAGATGACCACGGAGTACGCTGATCACTGGGTCGGATTAACAAGACTGATTAATGAGGGATTTCAGTAATTTGTTGCAAATGAGGTCTGTCAGAGTCGGAGTGTGAGACTGTTGGATTAACGGGTCTAAATAGCACTGATTTAATCGGGTTCTCATCATAAGTGTCGGATAAAGCCGATTGTCGGATTAAAAAGTGTCGGATTAACGAGACTTGACTGTATATTAAAAGTCTTACATACACAAGGTGTCTGGTAAATTGAGTATGGTCTGGACTTATCTATTTTACGACTTTGGTAACAAGCATTGGATAGTGGGACAACTCAACCGTGGCATTTGTGATTTTAAGGTATCTGACAAATAGGGTGTGACCTATAAGATAGCCCTGGAAATCCAACAGGAATGGCAATAGGTTGTCACATGAGGAGGACCAGAAGGTCGCAAACTTTCCATATTTGCATTCTGAATAAACAATGAACTTGTTGAACTGAACATAATTTTAAGACCATTACAATTTGGAAAGTGATACATATGTTTTTGTCGATGTATATTTGAGTTAAAATACAAATTAAGTTGATGACGTCATTTCCTTTTTCCTTAAAACTGAGTATGACATTGTGTTTATATAGTTTCAATTTTGTGTCAGTATTTATTTTCTATCCATTTCATTAAGCTGTGCTATCAGCGGTTTCACATACGTATGTTCAAATAACAGATTTATAACAGATTTATCTTCAAAAGTGCTAATTTATTAGTTGTAAAAATTCTATGGAGCACACATTATTGAAACCATTTTTGTTTGATGCTGTTGGTTGCCGGAAAAGCAACACAATATCTGTTTTCTGTAAATCACAGTTGTTTCAAAATTTCAATATCCCATTTTGTTTCACTGCGAACTTTTCCTTCAAATAAACAGCTTACTTCATTCCCTTTTATCATGTTAATACATGTGGCCACAATGTGACACAACTAGTATGTATTTCATCTATACTCCTTAATAAAGTGCCCGTGAAGATCCGGGGTAGAATAGGTCTTCAGCAACCAATGCTTGCCATAAAAGGCCACTATGCTTGTCGTAAAAGGCGGCTAACGGGATCGGGTGGTCAGGCTCGCTGACTTGGTTGATGCATGTCATCGATCCCAATTGCGTGGATCGATGCTCTTGATATCAATCACTGGATTGTCTGGTCCAGACTCAATTATTTTACAGACCGCCATCATATAGCTGGAATATTGCTGAGTGCGGCATAAAACAACAAACCAAACCAAAAACCTTAATACAGTTCATAGTTTCTATAATATTCTATTGTTGTCAGGCTTTTCTCATTGTGGCATTTGTCTCCAGTCAGTCGAACTTAAAACACAAAAAACAAAAAAGTGCCCCAAAATTTCTCGACTCCTAGACTGTGGAATGTATGAGCAACTTTAGCTACCTTCATGGCATTATCTCCTCCCTGCATCTCCGCCTTCTTCTCGATCTCCTCCTTTCTCTGCTGCTTCCTCTTCAGCCCCTCAGCATCCTTCACCCCTCTCGACTCGTTGTCCCGCTGACGTTTGATTGCTGCCTCAGCCTGCTGTTGTCTTCTTGTTTCCTGAATAATTGAATATTATTAGACTGACCATTTATTCTGGAGGGAGAGAGTATTGTTTTATGCCGCATTTAGCAATATTTCAGCAATATCACGGCAGGGGACACCAGAAATGGGTTTCACACATTGTACCCATGTCGGGAATCAAACCCGGGTCTTCAGCGTGACGAGTGAACGCTTTAACTAGGAGGCTACCCGACTGCCCCTCATTTATTCTGGAGGGGATCCAGTGCGATTGAGGAGGGGTCATGAAAGGGGATGCCAAAACGTATAACAACTGTGTGGGGGAGACAAGAAAATATGACACAGTTATTTTTAAAAGGGGGCACAGGTGGCCCAGTTATGTACAGGTCTCAGACGTTTACCACTTCGGTAAGCACGGACCTGACAGACCTAGAAACAAAATATAGGCGAACTGGGATTCGAACCCACAATCGTAGGTTTCTGGCATGCCCAGGGGACGCAACTCTGCACAAAGAATTGCGACACCTTGGACGACTGGGCCACCCGTGCCCCAAGTCATGTACAGAGTAGCACGCATCCCTTGGACATGCCAGAAATCCATCATTGTGGGTATGAATCCCGGTTCGCACCAATTACAGTATTTTCTTGAGTATAGTGCGCACCGAAGTATAATGCGTACCCCCTCTAGCAGATTCAGTATATTTGAAATTTCTTTTCCGAATGTTATCCGCAGAAAAAATTTACACTGTACCCCTTCAGCGATTTCCGGTAAACAAACAGCTGTATTTTCTTTTAAAAAAGTGTGCAGTATGTTTCTGGGTTTGTTAGCACCATACGCATGCTCTTGGGTTTTAAAAAAACATGAAAAAGTCTAAGACCTGCGTCACTTCAGGTTCCCTCCAACATCAAGCCAACATGCCATGATATAACTACAATATTGTTCAAAGAGGTGTTAAACCCAGCTCTCTCACTCTTATTTTTAAAACAAAAAAGGCTAAATCTGGACATTATCTAAGGAACTGGTCAATTATAATTGGGGGGGGGGGGGGGGGAGTGTCACAGTGGCTAGGGTGTGGCGGCAAAATATGATACAGTCCTATTAATGAGACCACTCCCCCCTTTTCATCCCATAATAAGTGATTAAAGTCATGGAACGTTATACACAGGATAGTCTAAATAGAGAAATTTATCAATGTTCATTTATCATGCTATGAAACTAAGAAAATGTATGAATTTGTAACACGCCCCAGACGATGTACTATTGGCCTTTGAACTCATCAGTACCATGAAGATTGATTGATTGTCTAAATGGGTCTTTACATGGACTTAGAATCGGACATAAAATAATAAAATATGCTCTTGTTGACCATTGCATGGGACTAACACAACTGGGCGAGTGTAATAAACAATATCTGCAGTTCTGAAAATGACAACCACCACAGCACAGGTGGCAACATTGGAGTTGGCATGGAATAATGCATAATGTCATCAATATGAAGTATACCATATTTGACGTAATAAGCGCCCTGGGTGCTCTCAAAATTAGAAATAGGAGTCTCTTATTAGAATATTATTTTGGTGTAAAAACAGAGTTGAAAGACAAATTTCATGGTTTTTGCTGACAGCCTGAAATGTTTATGTACGACAGATATATTTTTCCAGAATTTAATTCCCCCTATTTAACGGTGCATATAACACATGAGTGCATATTATACGCGAATAAATAAGTCTTGTGTACATTGATCAATTGGAAGGGGTGCTAATTGGGATTGTTCACTAGCCAATATATTAGCAAATATCGCCGTGGGCGCTTATTACGTCGAATATGGTAAGCCTATTTTCCAATTTGTGTTTTGTATATTACCTTTCCATTAATTTACACATACATGATATGTTTTTTTTCCATAGATATGTCATGTATATCAGAAACACAGACACAGAAGATAGTTTACATTACTACAAGTAGGACATGGCAATGATATGATTACATATTATACTACAACATCTCTAACTGTAATACAGCCTATCAATAACTAAGCAGGCGTTCATGCTGGAGACCAGACTGTAACAGCGTTCCATGAACGCCACACTCATCCTAGCAGGTTGGGATCACTACAGATCGGGGTACAAATAGGGCTGAAAGGGGACCATGAGTTTTCATGTGACAATACGACACACAGTACATTTTTTCTGTATTGATACAAGACGATACACTTGCTGAAATAGATTACTAACTACTCGTTTAATGATCCCTGGCATTTTTGTCAGTCAGACATAGCCAAATGTGTTCTAATCAGTGTTTCAAGTTGTCACAACGAACATGTGTCTACAGCTAGCTTATCTTTAAAACTTGCTTTGAAATATTTATTGTCAAAAAGTTTCCATGCGATTTGGCGATATGTATCATATCGTGACCTTGCTGCATTGTTTCACCCTTAGGTATAATACATCACTGTACTGTACCTCAGTGTCTGTGTATCCCACCCCCCAGTCAGTGTGTAACCCCAGCTAATTGGAGATATTTCACTTGGGAAACCTGTCAAAGTTTTGTCAGTTAGTGTGGTTGTGTTATGATCCTTTTCTCTTCTCATTCATGGACAAATGATAGATACAATCCTCACCTTTAACCAACATTTTGTCTAGAAAACCTTAAAATACCTTAAAACAAGAACGCATGTGCAACATAACCAATTATTAGATCTAAAGTGAGAGTTTCTGGATTTCAGAAATGAGTGTTATTATAAATATCCTCTCAAAGATGTACCATATTTTCGAACCGTTAAGATGACAGGGCTCCTATACCGAGGGATCAGTTAAACTTAAATTTGTGTTCATATCGACAGGCGATGTCTTCTAACAATAGAATTCAGTTAATATATCGATAGAAAAGAGTCTTCGATTAAAGGCCTGACCTCCATTGCCTTGTGTGTGAATTTACACTGCACTCGAGTGACATCACCTGGTTTCTAACACCTGAATGGTTGATCCTTAAGCGGGGTTTCCATGTCAGATAATATTCATGCAGCTCATCATTAAAACTCCAAAAGTAATTAAAAGTTTAAAACCTATTCACAAAATATGAATGTTTGTCAAATCATAATATCATGTAATATATTTTAGATTGTTTTACAGAAACGTTCATACTAGTTGCGTCTTCCTTTTCATCATAACATGGGCACCAAATTATTAATGACGACCTATTGTTATGAAAGTTTACGGATGCTTCACATGAACCCAGTGTTGACTGATCGTCTGTGCACGCGACTGAACATGAACAACAGAATGTTCGAAAACAGGGCACCTAATTGACCATGGCACCGTGTTCATCATATACGCCGACTGCGGTAAAGAGACTCAGACATTATGTCGTTTCGAGTATTAACCCTAGATTGACGTAGTAAATGCCAATATGAGGGTATTCCCGACCTGCCTTGTAGATGGTTCACTGAGCACTGATCTACATCAGACATAGACCCTGCCCTCTCTCGGGGCACCACTCCGGGTCTGGAAAGGTACGCTGATCGAAATCCGGACAATCGACCATTGCCGTCACTTGTATTATTACTATTAATAAAACAGGCAACTATGATAACCTGACAATGTACTCACTGGATCCGGCTGATCGTAATCCTCAACGGAGCCACCCAAACATGGCAGACACATCCCCATTGTCTCTCCTGTCCGCCAAACGCGGTTCACACTTGTAACTTTCCTTTCTGAAGCAATGTAATTTTTCAGCAGGAATCTACTTCCGGTAAAAGTTGTAAACATCCGGTTTTTAAAGGGGAGGTAACTCACAGGCGTAGCTGCACGCACACCCCAGTTGACAAAAGCATATGTTTATTCATGTATGGGAGACCATTGGCCCATGTACATTTCAGTTATATAGTAACACACAATTGAGACAGGTTACATTGAAAACAATACTAAGGGTATAATATTAGGTCTTTGTACGTAGTAATAGAACTTCCTTAAAATACTTAGCTACATTTCTGAGTATAGTCATTTTGGCTATTTAAGAGATTGCTAAAAGTATTCTTTAATACATGGATTGTTATAGAATCTTACAGGAATATACTTTTGTATAATGATGCGTAAAACGGGCAGACAAACACATAATGGACTTCGTCCTCAATACAACCATTGTTACATAGCCGACAAAAGCGTTGTGAATAAACAATATCCTCTCTTCTGCCCAGATTACTCCGCGTAGGCAATTCACTTAATCTCAACAGGCACATCACACGTCTATGGTCTCTATTTCTGAAAGCTGTGACATAATATTCCATATCCAATATTTTGACGTGTGAATAATACCTTAATTTACAAGACTCATAAATTTTCATCTGTACACTTTGTTTGTTACAATCCAACAAACGCTGTCTAAACAGCTGCAAGAAACAATTAACATCACCAATATTCTGTTCGTGCCACACATAACCAAATCCATAAATGTCGAGTAAATAGTTAACATGAGTTGCCCAAGTAATTCTACCACATTCATCGAGCTTCTTCATTAACAAATAACACTGTCGGGGACATCTTTCATCATTCATTCCAGAGACCATATAATTATATGGTCTCTGTTCATTCTAATCAGTTTACACCAATATTTAACACACTTCATATGATAATCCACGTGCAAACCATATCTTCCACATTCAGCTAATATTGCTGTACTTGATGCATATTTACCAACTCTTAAAACAAATTTACAAAACTTAGTACATGTAGTATGAAAAGTTTCGACAATTTGACTATCTTTGCAACCCCAGATCTCCGCACCATAAAGAAGAATGGGCTTTATCTTAATATCAAACAATTTAAATAAAATGTTAACTGGTATATTTACAAAGTGAAACTGCAATTGTTTAATGGCAAACAAAACCTTATTGACTTTTATCTTGAGGGTATCAATGCATTTTGTCCAAGACAATCTATTTGAAAACAGAACACACAGATTACTATAGTAAGTACTAACATTGATACGTTTATCATACAAAAACCATCGTTCATCATACCTTAAAGTACCACCTCTTCTCAAAACCAAAATTTCGGTTTGAGACATGTTAATTTCAAGTCCCCACATTTTACAAAATTTGGATGAAATATCCATTTTTCTTTGCAGACCTATTACTGTGTCATCGAAAATACACAAATCATCTGCATATAGTAAAAGTAATATGTCTATAAACTCCTCTCCAAAAGAATCCCTCGCAAATCACTACTTTCTATCATAGACTGTAATTCAAGGATAAACATCGTGAACAGAAACGGACTCAACACACAGCCATGTCGAACACCACTCAGTGATTCGAAATAACCTTAAAGAGAGTTATTTGATGTCTGACAGCACACTGAATCTTAGAGTATAGATCCTTCAAAACCACCAATAAACGACCGTGTATTCCATTTTTCATTAATGAATACCACAAGAGCTTTCGGTTAATCGAATCGAACGCTTTACTGAAATCAACAAACAAACAATAAAATCTTCCCCGACGTTAAGAGAGATATTTTGGAGCTAAACACTGTAATGTAAATATATTATCAATTGTACTGTATCCGCTTCGAAATCCTGCCTTTGTTTCAGGAATTGTATCATAAGCGTCCGCAAAAGTCTTGAAGCTATCATTTAATACTGTTGTCATCAACTTTCCAAATACATCCATCAGCGTTATTCCTCTATAATTATTGACATCATTTATAGTATCTTTCTTAACTACTATACCCTTTGCCCACTCGTAAGGGAATACCCCACTATGCATAATCCTATTAAAAACTACAGTTAAGTATGGTATGATTGAAGTGCTTCAACATTTCACCATTTCAGGAAGGATTCCATCCGGTCCAGCCGATTTACCCAGTTTCAAGTTATGTATAGCTGATGATACTTCTTCTTCAGTTATATCAGCATCAAGGAGATTATTCATACCATTATCGTTTCAGTAATTGCACTCATTAATATCATGGCTGTTCATAAAAGTTTCTGCCTCATCCAGATTGTCCCCATCCACAGGTATATCAGTTAAATTAAAAACATGCTGGAAATATTCGGTCCATTGCTAATACCAGGGCCACCTGTCACAGAAGGTGAAGAAATAATATTGTTGACGCGTCTCCAAAAGGACTTACCATTTTTGCTATTACTGACCGAATCACTTATACAATATTCATCATGCTCCAATCTCTTATGTCTACACAGTTCTCTATATTTATTCTTAATTACAAAATATTCCTTCCAAAGTTCCTTACTTCCTGAGATTCTGAATAAATCAAGTTTATTAAACTTTTGTCTTTTTAATTTCATACACTCATCATCGTACCACTTCTTACTATACTTAGTCCGGCAAACAGTACTATACTTCTTTTTTAAAAGACAACAGGACTCATATGAAATACATCAACTAATTTGTCTACCGCAGACTCGATATTAAGTAGAACCTGGTCTCTGTCACTGTCTGATACATAAGGTGATAACATATCAGCTACAAACTGACGAAAAGTTTCAATAACAGCGTCCTTCCAAACATATCTTAGTATATCTGACGATGTATTATTTTCCTCGTTTTCTGCCTCGTTCTCCGTTGTACTATGGTCAGTATGTACTTGAAATGACACAACAATTGGAAAATGATCAGACTCACACCGTCTTGTAAATAAGTTACTTGAACATAAACAGTAATCAACCAAACTTGCTCGTCTCCTTTAAAACATTTAAAGCTACCCTCTGTATCACCCGAACATCTCCCATTCAACATATGAATGTTTTGAGTTGAACACAAATCTGGGAGTTCCTTTCCATATTCATTGCATATATTATCACGGTTTCGTCTGGGAGTGTCAAAGGAATCAGACACATAGTCCATATCCTCAAATGTAATACTACTCAAAAGAAGTTAAAGAACACCCAAATAAGTTATCAAAATCACTCAAAAAAATAAATCGTGGACACGGGAAAAACACTGATTGGGAAAGATAAGTATTTAATCATGACATTTCATTGACGAAAGAAACGCTGGCATACAGCTGACCAGAGCAAAACAATATGAACTGCATGTACCCTATAAATCAAAAGTCACACACTACAGTTCAGGATAATCCTGTTCCTTCACTATCGGGTATGCCCACCCCTGGAAGCAATAGTCCTGACATCTTCTGCGCATAGATCGGACAAGCTGCTGCAGTGTTGCCTGTGGAATTGCTCGCCATTCCTGATGAAGAAATCCTAACAGTTGCTGGAGATTAACAGGAGGTGGATGGTTAGCTTGAACAGCTCTTCCCAAGGCAACCCAAAGATGTTCAATGGGCGCCAGATCTGGCGAATAAACAGGCCATTGCATAACGGTAATCTGCCTTTGTGTGTGATAGTCAATGATAATCCGAGCGCGATGGGGTCTTGCATTGTCGTCCTGAAGGATAGCACCTTGACCAATCTGACTAAGTGTGGGCAATACCAGGGGTTCAAGAATCTCATCACAGTACCTGGCACCATTCAGATTCCCGACAATATGGTACAGAGGAGTCCTGTGATTCCAACTGAATCCTCCCCATACCATCACTGATCCCCCACCAAAAGCGACACGTTCACGTACTGTGGCATCAGTGAATCTCTCTCCAGTACGACGCCACACCCGTATTCTTCCATCATTGAGCTGCAAACAGAATCGCGACTTGTCTGTAAACAGTACAAGAGACCATTGCTGTCTGTTCAAACGCACATGTTGTCGAAACCAAGCCAGACGTGCTGTTCTGTGAACTGGACGTAAAGGTGGTCTCACTGCTTGTCGTCGACTTCTCAAGTTCGCAGCTCGTAAACGGTTTCGCACCGTCTGATCACTAACGACAGTGTTATTGACAGCCCTTAACTGTAACCTGAGGTTGTTTGCTGTTGATGTACGCTGCCTGAGTGCTTGGAGAACCAGGTATCAGTCATCACGTTGTGAGGTACACCTTGGCCGTCCAAAACGGTGTCGCTCTTGCACTCTGCCAGTGGCAGCAAAACGATGCCAAAGGGTGTGAATGACAGAGGGGGACACCTGCAATCTTCTGCCCACCTCACGTAAAGAAAGGACATCCTGGAGCCAACCAATAGCTCGTCCTCAATCAACATCAGTCAGATGTCGTCTCTGTGGCATGGTTTTGGAAAGTGTGATTACACGATCATCGTCATCGCCTTCTTAAAGGGAAAGCATGCACGTGCACCATGAACATCACCACTTTCATATGCTGAGCATGAAAATTGTGTTGGTGCAGCGTTGTGTTTTGGCGACAATATTCCTGTGTTTTGCTCATGTTTTCAATTCATTTGCATGACTAGCAGAAGTGTTTCCAGAAAGTGTCAGGAGAACCAGCAATACCCCAGACGTGGTACAACATGTTGCCAAATGTTAGATGATAGTAATGGTATAATCCATAATGCCATGACCAATTTGCTAAATCGTGTATTATATATCTGGTGTTCTTTAACTTCTTTTGAGTAGTATATGTACCGATTCCCATCATGTACAACGAAATCGGACTGATTTCCACACCTTGCGTTTGAATCCCCAAATACTATAAACTTCCAATTTGTAAAACGATTAGTAATATATAAAAAAAGCTTTGCTACAGATACTCTATGCCTTACAGTGTTCTAACATCTGTTACCACGGAGGAGCCAGTAGGATGTATATATGTAAATACAAAGATGTAATCATACAATGGACTAAACAAACCTTTCTAAAAAACTACCAATATAATATCGATG